GTTGGTCTATAAACCTTTCCAAAAAGGGGTGTGGGGCTGGGCTGTGATTTTGTAAACATTGGAATCGTCTATACCGTATTTTGCTATAAAGGCCGGCAACCATTTCGCGCGTTCCACTTTTCTCTTGTTTCCTCCTCTTCCTCCTTCTACTCTTTCCACCGTTGCCTCCCCCCCCCCCCCCCCCCCCCTCGTCTCCTACCCCAGAGCCCTACCCTGCTCCGCTGAGCCCACCGCGGCTTAGCCATAAACTTCAACTGGAAAAAATAAAGGGATTACGATATAAAAGAACAACCCCAACATGATTCACAAGCGGCCTTGAGTCCATGAGTTACATTGGCGTCACACAGGTTTTTGGTCCTGTGCCCTCCCTGCACTGGTGTTTTTTTAACATGTTCCCCCTTTTTTTTTTTCTGTTTTGTGCGGAGGAGGGGAGGGGGGGGAACGTTGCTAATAGGATTGAAAGCTGTTCTTTGCTTTTTTGGTGCTTCATTTCGTTTTATTGAGGAGATATCCACGATTTCGGAAAATATCGTCTGCATATGCACAGCCCCACACATACATTGGTTCAAAAGTTGTGAGTATCAAAATGTGATTGCTTGTTCAACTGAAATAAGCAAGGGGAGTTAGGTCCTGCTTCTCAGATGCAGTGGCCTGTGAGTGAACGGGGTATAACTTGCACGCCGTATAGTAGAGACCTTTTTCGCTTACTCTCGCACCCAGCTACCTGGTAGGCATATCTGGTATGGGTGAAGAAAAAATAGTAAAACATTTCAACCTGCAAATAATACAAAAATAAAGGGGTGACAAAGCGAGAATGGGTGACGGTTACGCTTATATCCTAAATATATTCTATTGAAGAGGCAACGACCTACTGGGAGTGACAATATTTAAGATGGCGGTGCCCTTATGAAATAGCTCTATAGACTAATGTCACTGCACACATTGTGGCTTATCTGCAGCTTATCATTCGCCCCACAATTCATACAGAGAAGCTTCTTCACTCTTCTTTTCTTGTGGCCCTCAAATTTTCATACTAATGCATTCCGATCCAGGCTTCTGACAGGGGCAGCAGTTATTTAAAAACGTCAGTTCACATTGATTAAAAATTGTGCTGATCAAAGGAGCGCCCAGCAAAGATGTGCTGCGCTGTATGAGAAAAATAAACTTTGTTCTCGTTTCCTGGTCCTGGACTTTAGTCCTGGAAGATTCCTTCGCTAATCCTCCGATGCACGAATTGTGTCCATTGTGGGGGCACCCTTTTTGTCTGGCTTATCTTCATTCAAGGCTCACACAATGAACCACCCCACCATTTGAACCATGCGCGTGGACTCATGCCTGACTTTTTTAGTCCCCTCTTTTCATCCTTCGCTTCCCTCACTCAAAGTTGTGAGAGGATAAAAGCCTCCCAGATTATAGGGTTTGGTCATCGGGCTTTAAGCATGAGCAAGGCCGTAGCTACAAGTGCGAGCATGTGGCCCTGAACACTGCCTGCACTGCACGAGCGCACCTGCTTGGCAGGGATGCTGAAAGCCCGGAGCTTGCGCTTGTAGCTTCTGCCACGATCCCACTTAAAGTGAAACTGAGTATTACCATACAGTGCCAAGGAGTTCATCATACCACCCACGTTGGTGCCACACACGTCCACATTGCATTGCAGTAGGTAGTAGTTTTTATGGTAGCCTTTTAAACGGGAAAAATCAGCGACGGTATGCTTGGGTTGTGTTACACTCTGCTCTTTTCTCTTGGAAGAACATTAGAAAGGTATTAAGTAGGAACATGAAAAATAAAAATAAATTTCCCGCGAGTCAAATTAGCCATTTTTTATAGCTACTGATTTGCCTCGAAAGTGGTTCATCATATTAAAGACGCATCTGGGGTGGTGAGAGCTTAAGATTTCAAGGGAAACTCCCCCACTTTCCACTTTAGCGGAGCAAACGCTGGAGAGGACGCGACCTTTTCTCTAGCGTTTGCTCTACTGGAGTGGAAAGGGGTGGGAGGAGCTTCCAATTCACACTTAACCTGTGACCAACTACTGTAAAATACTGGGGACTGCCCACCGCCCTTCCACTGCATCTCCGGTCAAATCGAGCGCTTAATGTATAATTTGCAGAATTCCCAAGTTTGGGAAATGTTAATAGTGGGTGCTTGAACGAAGTGAGCGCCTCCATAAGTCACAATATATATAAATTTTTTTTGTGCAAAGTTGTTGAAGTTTTAGATTTGGTTTGAGAGGTTCTATGGGCAACACTGGAAACGTGACGTCAGACGCCGTAACATGGGGCAATAATTGGGCATTATAGCTTGTTCCTGACAGGTTACAGGACGTCTGAGGTGTGAAATGAAGGCTGGTTAAGCTCGCGCGAGCAAAACACTGTGTTTCTTTCAATGGCCGATCGACTTGCAAGTTACACAATGTGTGACATCACCCTTTGGAGAGTGGGGCAACATTTGAATGTTGGTTTTGGCATCACCTTCATTTCCCTTTTCTCTACAGCTATTAGGAATTTAGAGATAAGGAGTAGCATGCCCGCAATACTAAAGCCTGGCTATTACGAAGGTGCGCTTAGTTTGGCTTGCTCAAAACATTTCTGGGGCTCCCCTTTAATCGGGGGCTTAATGTCGGCATGTTTTTATTCTTTCGTTTCATTAACTTTAATTGTACACGAGATTGCTGCAGGTGTCTTTACACCATATAGATGCTTCGTTTAAGCCTGTTTGTTTTTAAATCGCTTCAGTCTGCCATCGGTTGCTGAGGTCAGTAATATGGTGTTGGTCTTTCGAGCCATCATACTATATGGTTGGTTGACAACATCTATTGCGAGAGGCTCTGTTTGCATTAACTGGTGTCATTTGGTGTTGTGGAAGCCCTATATTTATATTTTAACTATTTCAACGTCCACATTCAAAATAATTTTAAATATTATCTTCACATCCATGGTGATGCCACCTCCTAAAGACGTGAAAATATTTTCAAAATTATTGTGACATGCCCCGTCAAAATATTGTATTCTTGTTATTTTGGCGTTTTAAAGTAGGAACTTGGACGGCTTTGGAGTCCAGACTGGAAAGTGATCTAAAGGGGCCTTCAAAAGATATAATCTTGTGTTAGAGCCTCGACATGGGAAACGGGGTACCAGTGAAGGTTTAAAAGGGAGCGTTTAATACACGTCGGGCGGGTACGCCTGCCCAGCAAAAAGAATGATGCGCCACGTGGGTGGTGGCGCGAGCTTGGGGTCAGTCGTCTTCTTTTGCGAGGGCGCTAACACTTGCTTGCTGGTGGTGTTGTGCTTCAACCCACATTTTCCAAAAACAAATGTTGTGCAGACAACTGCAGGTTTTATGACCTTTTAAGTGATGGGGAAAGCAAAAAATACATGCCAGTGTACATCAGCTATCACACTGCCCGTAACATTTGCTTGGTTGTGCTAAACATTACATAACGTGGCACCGTTGATTTTCATGAATTATTTCACAAGTCTTATATAGATAAAGGAGCTGAATCTCGCGTCATAAAGATTGCAGTAGATTGAATGCCATTAGTTGTCAGAAAATGTGTGTGTCTCGTGCAACCGTGGTGCAGAGTGCAATGTGAGAACGTTTCGCTCGGTGCGTCAGAAACTTTGATGTTTTTTTGCACCGGTCAAGAAACATCAAGGAGGCAATGTTTGCATTCACAACATTTGATTTAACATCCCGATCGTTGTGTAGTTAACCTGCTCGTTATACACAAACCAAGAAAGAAAGTCTAAACTAAACAACAAACTCACGAAACCCGGTTAAAAATAGGGCAGGGGCTAACTCCAAAGCTAGACTGCAACCATACGAGGACGTGCTCGCACGGTGGTGGAGGTGTGGAGGCACAAAAAGTGTGTAAACTCGGTTAGTAGTCTACGCATTTGTTACGTGCAGTAGAGGAATATCTAGCTTGGCTTTGTTGTGAATTCAATATTTTAAGTGGGGTGCGTGCCGAAATGATGTGCGAGAGCTGAGAACATCGCCGCCGAGTGTGTCACAAAGAATCAACTGTCGAGCCAGTCGATCACACATACGCTGAGTAAGACATTTCCAGCGCCAGGTAGAACCGAAACGTGTCAGGCATGGATCACAGCAACACGTGACTCCATCAACATGTCAACACAATAGCAACAACACCATAAGAAACTAAACAGAATGCAACGGCTATCACCCTATCGCTGCAAGGGCTGCATTTGACTGGGGACGTCGAAACGATGAAGCGATAAAGCCACTAATTTGTTGACGTTTTACGCAAGTGATGCCGCGAACGTCAAAATGATTGTAGAAATATTTTGACGGTGGACGTCCGGATAGTCACTACCTATTCATAACCACTGTCGTTCGATTTTCATCTGTCAGCTACGGGCTGGTTAATCGTATCAATCGGTCAGGTTAGTGGCTCGCCATTTCTGACCATTTGTTTTATGCTCATAAGTAGGGTTCTGCGTTTTTGAGGTGTATTTTTTTCGGAATATGCGAATGTTTCTTCGGGTTTATTTTTTTTCCACAGATTCGGAGCTTTTTAGTGTCTGGATTCGATGTCGGACAATAAATTGGCGTTAATCGGGTCTTACGTTGAAGGAAGCAGGTCGTGGGATTCCCCCACCTTCAGGCAATATGACCCTTTGAAAACATTCTGATAAGAGGAGGAGGCGACTCGAGGAAATGGTGCGGGCTATGTTCCTGCTCAACGCAAAATAAAGCTGTAGAAGGAGATTTCCTTTGGTGATGTTTGCGTTTTACTTATTCCAGGATAGCTGTAATATTTCTTTTAGATTTTTATTTATCTCTATAAAACCGGTTCGGGGCTACCTTTCTGGGTTTAAGTGCATATACCCCAAAACACAGGACCCTACCCGTAAGCTTGCACTGTCACTCGGTGTCGCTCCCAAAATTGCGGTACTATAGAAACTAGTGGTATTAAGCATTATCGGATTAACCTGGGATTCCTCAAGATTTTGAGTCTTTTTCTTTTCTCTTTCCAGGGTGGAGAACGAGTGCGCTGGGAATATCACAATGTGTCCCTGGCTAGGGTGAGCTGCCTGATCTTCTCCATCTCTCCTTTTATAAAACTTTATAGAAGAAATGGTATAGTCAACAGCTGTTTTTTTTTTAATATATGTTGTCTCATTTGTACGCTAGAGCAAATGAAACTTAATGATCATTTTTGTTAAGTACATTAATGATCATTTTTGTTAAGTACAAAACGAGCGTGCTGGTAACAGTATCCAACATGAGGAAGGTAACACAGAGTAGCAGACGGACAACAATGCACCTTCTTTCTGGCGTCACATCAACTTAAGCCTTTGGCAAGTCGTCGAAAAAAATTGGAGGGGAAAATACGATCGCACTGGGCACTTTTATTCACCATCAGGCATTGATGTGCATTCATATTTTAATTTTCTGGGAATATTTATATATCGTAGTGCTGTGGATCATGCCCTTCGGTGCACTGTCCAAAGCTATAAGGCACCCCACTCCATACAGCCTAGATTTTGGGGAGAAGATGAATGAGAGTAATTGTAAGATGAAAGGCCAACCCCCTCTACTCTGCTCACCCCTAAGCCAACACAGCAGTAGGAGCTACACGCTCGCCAAACCAAACGGCCGCCCCCCTCTTGTCTCACAACCTCATTCTCTGCGCATAATTATAGAGGAAAGCGTGACCGTGTGTCAAGAGAGAGGCGAACGCCTCGTCCCATTAGTACTTGGCTTCCACCGCATTGTCAGGCATGAATGGAGCATGGCAACGTGCAATCACTTCCGACCACCTTCGAATCTGTCGCCATACGACGAGGTCACGGGCAGGACAGCTCACAAGTTCTTTTTTTCCGCACAGAGCAGCGTTTGAAATGACAACGCTGGGGGTGCTGCCTCTTTTGTTTTGCGAATAGTGACAGTCCGAGTATTTACGCAGGAGGTGTTTGAGCAAAGGGGGAAGCAGTGTGCCACCGAAGCCAGACTACATCTTTATGAAGGCAGTACGGGGTAGCGGCGTAGCCAGGACGGGCTCTGCCGCCGCCTGTAATATACATATGCGCCAGGGTGTCGAACCGGAACCGAACCGAAAACCGGAACCGAACCGGTATTTTTTCCGGAACTGAACCTGAACCTGAACCGTTATATTGTTATCGCGATGAACCCGAACCGGAACTGAACCGGAAAAAAAATAACGGTTACCGGCTCATGTCAAAACGGTTCGGCCAAGCGCTGTTGACAATGAATGTGCTATCAATGCCATTTGTTTTTTAAGTGCCGTCAACTGACACACACCCTCGCTTACATATTTTTCTTCTCCACTCAGTCTTAGGAATATAAACGCTGCATCCATGAATCTTGACAAACGCTGCATCCATGAATCTTGACATAGGAACCAGTATTGCGCTGGTCGCGGCTTGCACGGAAGAAAAAAAATTGGAAGGCTGTGCAAAAAAAAAAAAAATCGCGTCACGGGATTTCATTTTCCTACGATCTCGTAAATCCTAAATGCTGCTGTGTGCTCATTTCATAACACGTTTCTAGAACGCGCGAGTTCTTGAAGCTTGCTTCCATCGGAATGAGAAAAGAAAAGGCTGTGGAGTTTGATAATAATGCATCCGGTTTCGTATAGGCACTTAGAAGCTAACATATTTGTGAGCCAGCGAACTCTTCTATTTTAATATTTATCCTATTACGTCCTTCTGGCGTTGCGTTCGGTGAAGTGTTTTTCATATTCCGTATCTTGTTTAATGAAAACTTCTTTAAGGGTCTAATTTGAGTTGCCGAAGGCTAGTTCAAATAAAGAAAGCTGTATTTTCTCCCCACTGTTCCTTCAATTGCTTACACGCCGAGGTGGCGGGATAGTTAGCGAGTTCTACTTGTAAGTGGGTTTGTAAGGAGGTCGCGGATTTTACAGCTACTGCGTCGGACCCAATTAGATGAAGTCCGAATGCGTAAACGTTGGTGAGGTAACCTTTGAGTGCACATAAAGAAACCATTCCTGGTAGAAATCCCTGAGCCTTACACTACGATGTATCCCGTTTCGTATGTGCTGATTTCAGATGTTTTATTTGTAATTTATTTTGATGTTGCAATTTGTCATTTATAATTTCCGAACCGGTTCGCGGATCGAATTAATCGAACCGGAACTGAACCGGAACAAAATAAATTTACCTGAACCTGAACCGTGACCGAACCCGTATTTTTTTCGGTTCGACACACTGATATGTGCTCATTTTGACCCCCCAGCCCCCATACCTCTGCACCCCAGGTCATGGGCATTCCGGCCACCTCAGCCACCCCCGAAAAAAATTCCTGGCTACGCCGCTGCTACAGGGCTATCTTAACGTTAGTTCAATCGAGTTAAAATACAGGCTCTGGTTTTCGCTAGAGCCACTAAGTAAGTTTAGAGTTACCACAGTTCAGCCCCCTCAGTGCTTAGAATCATGGCTGCCAGTCATCCGAAGCTTCATCTGATATCACGGAAAGAGCTTTTCCGTCCTCCAGAAGTATTAAAACAGCTTGCGACAAAGTGGAATAATATTGCCTGGGCTTCTTGTCACCCTATCCAATCCCCCGGAAGTTGCATTTTCAAATTGTAGCAATTGCCAATTGCGCTTGCTCTGTGCATCAAGATGGCAACACTTGCGAGGAAAGCGGGAAGCTGTTGCCGACACTCTAAGTATAGCGTATCAGGGGCCCTGGTTTTCCCAATCATTCATGTGACCAGGAGACATCGGGCAAGCCAATAGTTCACACCAGATTACTGTAAAATCCCGAGCTGGCTCTAACTCGAAATTCGGAGATGATTGTGTAAAACTAGGGGATGGGCGCTCCTTAAGTCAAAAATATGTAATGACGCGTCCTTTGTGTGGGCGCTTATTGTGGAATGGGTGGATGCTTAGTATTTTGCGTTAGTCGGCCACAGTCCTTGGATGGTCGCGGCTGACGACCTGGCTTCACGCTTTAAGTGAGTTACGAAAGTTTACGGCTTCCATTTTTCGATCGATCAGGGTAGTGTCCTTTGGCCGCAGTGTCACTAACGCCGAATGACAAAATATTTAGGCCAAAACTTTTTGCAACCACCACTAGTACTTTGGTCATGGTTGGCAGCACATTTGTTCGCAGTAGTGGTCATCCTGCGTTCGGCCAGCGACGTGCCATCATTGTCGCATGGGCAATTCCAACGACTGTCTGGGCTTTCTCTATATACAGCTCCAAGGAACGCGATATTGCACGGTTGCGAGAGCTAGTTTATGCCAGCTGTGCACCCTCGTTTGCTGACATTTCGATCGGGAAAAGGAACCCACGAGACTCGTATCGGTAGTTTCGGAAACAATCGCGCCTAGTTGCAATGTCCCAGCAAGTTGGCACTAGCCCGACATTATTCATATCTTTCATGACCGTTTCTGATGAGTTTGATTGTTCTGGCCGTTTCTGGTATACGAAGTAAAAAAAAATATTTTTGTCTTCGACTCATTACAGCGGTCGTTTTATTTCTGTTCCGTTTTCCGGCTGCTTTAATTATTGACTGTGCTAGCCAAATCACCTTATTGCTGACTTTTATAAAAATTTTTGTATGAAGACAGAGCAACTAATAGTTCCCTGATTGAACCGTACAACCGGAATGGATCATCAGACATTAGCGTTTCTGGGGAGCACTCTTTTTTCTTAATTCCAAAGTATTGCTCAGTTAGTGCTCGTCTTTGTGGGCCTCACCAACACCGCCACACTGACTCTATCTTACCAGTTGCGTGCAGCGTTACCAAAGGGTTATGGGCCAGCCTGTAACCTTAGCAGAGTAGGGAGGAACTCTCCTCTTGTTCCTTTGTGTATCCTTACATCGCTTTTCTCTCCCTAGAATATTAGGCCCTCACTTAATTTTAGTACGAAAGTGGCCTTCCTTCCTCTCTCACCCGCAGCTTCCACGGCACTGCGTGAAACTTGCAAGATAAAGTATAGACGAGACCCTTTGCTTCCTCACCTCTCACTGAGATGAGATGCCGATGCGCCACGGCGGCGACAGGGCAATGATTGTACCCGAGCGTTCCCCGACCCGCCGTCCGGGTTCCGGTCAAATGCCGAATCGGCGCTTGTGTCCAGTTCATGCCCGCGTGCGGTCGTAGTGTGGCCTTTTTAGCGCTGTGTGTGTCGGAACCTCGCCTGTCCAGCGTTGGCGTCTCTTGCTGCGTCTCTGCCCGGTGCCTACAGGAGCAACCTTGGGTGCGTGCAGGTCCCCGGCTACGGGTTTGGGATAGCGGTGAGTGGCGGCCGAGACAACCCTCATTTTGTCAACGGAGAGCCATCCATCGCCATCTCGGACGTGCTCAGGGCCGGGCCTGCCGAAGGAAAGCTCCAGTAAGTGCCCCTCTCCGTCTGCCGCGTGTCTGCCCCACTGTGCACGTCGACAGGCCCTGTGTAACTCCTAAGACTCTGTCGACATCTTTGCTTCGCATACGCTGAGTCCCTTATAAGTGTGCGCTAAAGTTGCTTCGGGCTTTGTATTTTTACGGCTTGAACATGGTCCACTTCCTTCATAAATCCAAAACTTATTGGCATTAGAATCCTACATCGATCAAAGTCTCACCCTCTTCTCCTCTTTGGCAACGAGAAAGGACTCGCTTCCTTCACTTCCTCGTTGTGAGGGAGGGAAAGGGATCAACCTTTGTCGCAGATTTTGTATTTAGGCGGTACGCTTATCTGAACATTTGCGGATTTCTAGACTCTGTGCAGTGTGTGTACGATGTTAAAGAGCATAAAAAAGAAATTAGTGGCTGCTCTATTTCACTCTTGGTACATTTGGTCACCGGCCCCCTATTTGTCAACCAGTCTCCCAGTTCTGATCACCTTGCTTGCATCGTGTTTAAAAAAATGTCTCGACAAACTTTGCCCGCACAACTAAGCTGTGCTGTGTCCCATCCCCATATATTTTTTTATTTGTTGAGTGTATTTTTATGGAACTTGACCTCTGCCATAGCTACCATGAAATACTGTGGAAGTGCCTAGGTACTTCGTTCAAGAGCCTACTGTTAACATTTCCCAAACTTGGGAATTCTGAAAATTATACGTTAAGCGCCCGATTTGACTGGACAAGTGCTCATGCCTACATGAACCCAACTTTCAGTGAAAGTGGGATGGGCACTCCTTCAGTATTTTGCGGTAATTACGCCACCCAGATTTTGTTGCTCAAAACGCGAACTCATCTTCTTTATACTCATTCTCTCTCGTTGTGCCACTGAACTTTTTTCACGGGTATCTTTCACTGGCTTTCGTACCATAGCCAAGTCAGAGAAGCTTCCTTTGCCATAGATGAAAAACGAGAACCGCAACACCTTTCATTTTTGTCAATGAAGCGACGGCAGAAGCTGTGCCTACGGCCTTTGTGGCGCTTCAACAAACAAAAAGTTTCATGAACTCCCGAGCGTTATGCCGAAACCCGCGCATTCGGTACTCCATGTAGCCTGCATATTGTTTGCAATAGTAAAACCAATCACTTTGTGCTGCTGCAATGTAGGGTTTAGATACAGTACCTTGTGCGTGAAAAGCTTTTTTTTTTTTTTTTTAGTATATTTTGTTCGCACGAAGTAGGTTTCCAAGCTTAATTGCTGGATTTTTATGAACAGTGCCTGTGGTTTCTATTGAAATTTCAGCTTGTTCCCCGATGTGGCTGGTTGCTGTCTCTCCCTGAAGCCTCATTGTTTTTCAAACAAAGCTCAGAATGACAAGTTTTTATCTTGCTATTCTTTACAAGTTGTTTTGTTGTTTCCTGTGCTTTTTACACCGTGCAATCGACAACATATTGGGTTTCAAAAAAGATACTGCACCCCCAAAAGTATGTTTAATTTTTAACTTCTGGTAGAGGGCATATATAAAATTAAGCAAAATTTTCCCGAAGGAAACGATGAATTAATGCAGTATTTATTTTACGAGGGACAGTTTGACGAGCGAGTCGTTTACAGCATGTAACTTATTCAGGAGGCAGTTTTAAGGGGATGGTGAACCGAAATTTGGATTTAAAAAAAAACAATGCTGGAGATGTAGGCGGGACGCTACAATCCCTACAACGCTACTAGTAAGGCGATATGTCAATTGGACGGCCGTATTTCTGGAAAAAGAAGTCGAGATTGAACCAGGTCGACGAGGCGCGTGACCGTCAAGATACCTAGTTTCCTCCTCTCTTCGCTTCGCTCCCTCAAGGCCGCGAGGCGGAGAAGACGCGAGGCTGTTCCCTTTCCTTCTCGGAGAAACATGACGTCAACATTCCTGCCAAATGTGCCTCATTTTTTGAAAAATACGGTCATGCGTTCGAGACATTGCTGTATCAGTGATGTTTTGTTGTTTGTAACATCCCGTTGCACGCTTTTGCCGCGTGTTTTGGGGAATTCAGATTTCGGTACAGCATCCCTTTAATGTTGTACGCGAATCACGGGTTCCTTCCACGCTCGGGCTGCGCTGTTGACTGCGGCACATCTGAGCCGGCAGCTTTTGCTTTTGTGACGGATGCTCTGGCCAACAAAGTTGGCCAGAGCATCCGAGGAGTCGCATTGTCACATCATTGTAGCCTTCCAGTTTCTGGCCGGGAGTCTTTCCAAAGCAGGCTGGGAGCATCCCATAAGATGGAGATCTGAGCCTCGCTGCCACGTGATTGCAGGATCAACGACCGTGTGATCAGTGCCAATGGTTTGCCGCTGGAGAACGTCGACTATGCCACGGCTGTCCAAGTCCTAAGGGAGTGTGGAAACTCCGTCAACCTGGTGAGCAACGCAGCACACACATCTGGCCAAAGACTGACTCGCAAATTTCTTTTTTCTCACCCCGACGACTCGCATCCTTCGTTGCTTCTGTGCTCTTCCTTTTCCCTGTCCAAGCAGACTAATTGATTTTGTACCCTCATTGGAAGGGGGGTCCGTTTCATCCTTCAAAAATATGTCTTGCGAAAAACATGTCTTTTATCGCTCCTATTAACTGATACCTCTCTTTGTCTTTTTTTTTTTTTTTTCTGAGATGCTTTGTCATCAATTTTGCCAATTGGATTTCCAGCCGTTGTTTACTATTCGCAAGTTACTTGTGCTATCATGAAGCACTCAAACAGAAAGTTAAGCTGATGAGATTGCATCTTAACCAGCCAAACTGTTGTGAAAGCTGTGGGCTTTTCTTAGAAAGTAACAACAAATGTACAGCGCTATGGAATTTTGAGGGGTAGATGAGCCAGTTGTATCAAATCTAAAAGGAGGTTGTGGAACTGATGTCTTCTCCATGCAACCAGAAACAGGTAGAATCGCTTCTTTTTCTTTCTATGCTTTTCCATTTTTTTACTTAACTCCCCCGTGCTCTGTCTCGTAAGTCCTGTTGAGCATTGTGAAAGGCATTAGAGGGAAAGAGCTTTCTTTGTAGGAATTTTAAGGTACACAATGGAGAGTTCATAAAGTTTGCATACTTCCTTGGTATACGAAGTGGTCAGGATTCCCCTCTCCCTCTTTTCTAACTACGGGTGCTGCCCTCTCGCACCGTCAGTAGCACTGAACACAACTGGTGATGCAGGGTGTAGCTCCCGCCACGGTGCTGTGGCCCTTTTATGTGCGGATTTATAGCTGTCACGCTAAGCTGGCTAGTTCTTCATTCTTTCTTGTTGATTTGCACTACACTCGGTTAGAACCAGAAACCAAAAGACTACTCTCATACCCAGAGTTGGATTGTCTTCAGTTATTCTCTCTTGTTCGAAAGTCACCCTTAAATTAATTTGGAGAACTCGATTAGGTTTTCCATAAGAAGGGAAAGTATAAGGTAGGGCAGAACAGGTCTGGTGCCCATGGGCCGTTCGGTGGCACAACCAATGGGTCAAGTCCAGAACTTAAACAAATGCTTTAGAGACGACGTGGATTACCCTGTGCATTAATGTATGTGCTGGAATGACTAATTTTGATACCTAGTAGTAAAGGAAACTTAGTATGCCTTGACCTCTTTTAGATTTTGTTGATGCATCCCTCCCCATCTGTGCACACCTATGGTTTGGAGGCATGGTAAGGTGTGAACTGGACGAGCAGCGTGACCTTAGTATAGTTGGAACCCTGGGGAGCAGCTGAAGTTGATGCTCTGACCTCGTACATTCCTCCCGTTCCCTGTAACAGGTCATCAGGCGCCGTGTGGTGCTTCCCTCCTCTGGTCTGGAACCCCAGACGCTCAGGGTCACACTTACCAAGGCCAAGAAGAAAGACGGTCAGTGGGCGGCCACAGCAATCCCATGCTCCCACATCCCCTACTCCAGGTGGAAGAGTTGGCAGAAGTGGGCTAGTCTAGATCCAGCTTCCAGAGTTGCGCGATCACTCTATGCAAAGGGCAAAGCCGAAAAAATCCAATCCAGGGATTCGGTTGGCAGCCTGCATGCTACTGAGGCCTCTGCAACCCGTCTCCCTGCCACATCCTTCCACTGCAATGACGGGAGTGGTCTTTGAGTTTAATGATAATAATTATTAGGTACCTTTTCTTCTAGTCTCTAGAAGCAACCTTGCAATCTTTGTGCTGGCAAGTGCATTTAAAGTGAATAAAAAGACACAAGGTGTGCAGAAGGAGAACAGGGTCCACAAAGTCTGACGCTGAACATGATGACAAGTTCAAGAAGCAGCTTGAAGACAGAATGAAATAATAGTGCAATACTCGTAATAATAATAATCATAAATAATAAAAAATGACTGCATCTCCACGTGGTGAATAATGTTGATTAGGGCAAAGCTCTGGTGGTGCTTGTGTGCGTAGATGCTGAGACGCAGCATGCCGAGCCTTTCGTTCGTTTTCATCCATCTCAGAAAGAGAATGTGTGGTATGGAACGTGGTTATATACGCATTTGAGCATTTGACCGCAGTGCCCTCTCGTCTATGAACGTTGAGCCAATGCATGCAAAGTTTAACGCGATTATATACGCATTTGACCGCAGCGCCCTCTCCTGTATAGACGTTGAGCGGCTACATGCAACGTTTCATCCATGACATCCCCAGCTCTTGAGTTACTACCACATTCTAGAGCCCTCTACTCGTCCCGCAGTCGTGGCCGAGCGGTGAAGGCGATGGATTAGAAATCCATTGGAAGTTTCCCTGCACAGGTTCAAATCCTGTTGACTGCACAAACATTTTTTTTCATAATTTCTTTTTTTTTTTTTTGCCCAACACGAGCACGTGAGCATGTGAGCTCACGAGCACGAGCACCAGCACCAGCAAGATCGATGTGAGCACGGATGCCGGACAAGTCTAGACCCTGAGGAGCTTCGCCCTTAAAATAATGATAAGAATTTCTCCTGGTACTAATTGCATTTGGTCAATCGAACCATTGTGTTAAAAAACATATGCAAAGGGAAAAATTAATTTTCTGCAAAATAAACTAAATGAAAAACATACGTAAAAAAACAATTTACAACCAAAAAAAAAATTTTTTACAGCTTTATTTATTGCGTTAGTCAAATTTGTAGTTCGTGCCTGCGAGAATCTGCGGGAAAGTGGCAACTAGCAGTCACATGACTGGCCATTATAGTCACGGGGTGCTTGCACTCTTTTGGGAGCTTTTGATGCAGTCTAAAAATTGTTTATTAATATTTTTCTCTTATTACCGCTCATAATTTTACATTCAACCTCAAATAGGTGGGGTTACGTCCTCTGTGCAATGTGCTCCTTCGCACATTCCGTAGGGCTGGTTGAGCAAAAGAATAAAAGGATAGACCGTAGCTCTCGGCCCCTAAAAAGGGGCTCAGATCGAAAGCCCCAACTAGCCAGTCAAAGGTAACAGTGTAGGTACCGGTTATTTTGACAGCATTATCATTTGGGGAGTCCCATTCCATTCACTTCACCGACAACGGTGGAGATTTCTCAGTGACCGTGCAAGGTGCCATCGCGATCTGGACACCAGCACCGAAGTGTGGATTCCTTTAGCTTTCCAAGGAAAAGCCCGTATTCTTAAAGTCCTAAATATTTTCGACTCGTATTTTTTATGCGTTGATTGGACAATAACCGCTCATTCCTCTCCTACCTCCCGCCACAGAAGATTGCGAGCTTGTGCTCTTATGAAGCGTTATCGCGTTAGTGGGGGGTGTTGGCCTTGTCTCAGAATTGAAGAGGTCGTGTGGGAGTCGTATTTAAATCAGGCAATAAGCGTAAAAACAAAACGCAAACTGTATTTACACTAATAAATCAATCGAATATACATCATTACAGAGAAGTGTCTCGATCGGCTTCTGTCGTTCACCTCGTTCCGCTCGTGCCTCGAGCCTTCTTCTTTCTTCTCGTTTCTCGTGAGCTTCAAGTTCTTTCCAATCTGCAACAGGCCTTGCTGTGTCCAGAGCAGTCTCCTATACGTTACTGTAAAAAAATAATCGATTACAATTACACTTACTCGTGCTTAAAAAGTATTCAATTAGACTACTTAATTGCGGGAGAAGAAGAGCAATTGGCCGTTACTCGAGAACCCAACTGTTACTTTTCCAACTACTTCTCAAAAAGACAGATTTTTCTGCCTGTTTGAAAATGGATCTTTCATGTTGTTCCTCATTGGATTAGAATTGACTAATTATTAATATCCGGCAATTTTGAATAAATTTTCGTCTTGTCGGAGACTCGTTCGAGGATCACTAGGTAGCAAACTTGTCCAAACAAAGGGCACCATAAAAAGGAAGGGAACAATTACGGGTGATTTTATTACTTCCAAAAATAAAGAGATTACTCGCGATTTTATAAACATAAACAAATGATTACTTGAAAAAGTAACCGATTACGAGTAATTTGTAAGGAGTGGCGTACGAGTCTGGTCCCGAGCGTGTCCCGAGGGTGTTGTGGCTGTCTTCCCCGCAGACTATGGCATTGTGCTGGGCTGCCGCATCTACGTCAAGGAGGTCTCCAACAAGTCAGTGGCCGAAAAGGACGGGGGCGTGCAGGAGGGAGACGTCGTCCTCAAGGTCCTTCAACCTTCCTCTCTTGCCTAACCGGCGTTGCTAGACCGGCTCACTCGGCAAGCCTCTGTTGAGATGCCGACACGCTCTGACGGTGTTTAGTAGAGCGCGACTGACAGTATTTAGTAAAGTCAATCATGGCACTGTATTTTGGTCTGATAAGCGGCGATGATATAACTATTTTTAAAGAATTTTTTTTTGTTCGCATTAAAGAATGTTTAGTTGACAGGGTGCGTGACGGAAACAGCAAGAACCGAGCTAATAGCCTCAGAGTGTGCGTTGCAAGCTCTCGTTCCACATTCCCAAGATATGACAGGTTGATGCACCGCTTTGCTACAGTGTCCGGAATCTGTCTGTGACTGGTGTGTTTGGCATTTCGTATCACTTTCTCGTCGAAAGGGTTCCCGAAGTGGCAACAAGTGTCGTCACGGGAGTCGGCGTGCCAGGCCGTTGCATGTTGCGATTGTGGCGGTTGGACGTAGAAGTCCTGTCAAAAAAGAAGCGCAAACGGAAGTGTCGCCGTCGTTGCGGCATCCCAACTTCCGGCTGCCGAAGATTCCACGAAGCTTCACGCCAAAGAGCGCTACAGTTCGTTACCCACAGCCAGTTTTGGGAAGTACTTTAAGTACATTGTACCTAAAGTACTACTTTAAGTAGGTTTAGCAAACTTGTACTTTACTTGAAGTACATTCTCTGAGTATGTACTTGTACTTTACTTAAAGTATTTTTTTTGTGGTACTTTCTGAGGAAAGTACAATTTCCGACTTCAAAGTACATTCCCAAATCTGATTTCGTTAAATTTTTATCATGATGTGAATCTTTGTTAACTCCAAAGAAATACTGGGAGGGACATTCTACTCTCACCACAAACGTGAGCAGACGACGCATCGCTCCCTTTCTTCTGGGGGTGAATTTCCCTACCTTCTTGAACTCTCGCAACTTCTCGGTCGGTCAGCGCAATTGACGAGGTTTAAAACATTAGGACAGCATAATTAAGCATCATGTAGCACCTGAGACTGCGGTGTGGAAAAATTAAACTTTCCAAGCCGAAAAAAAAACAAAAAAAACAGGAGAACGTCACAATGTTTTGAGGCATTATCTTTTGTCTTTTCTTTCGACTTGAGAGTTCTTCAATTTTTTCTCACCCTAATCTCAGGTGTCACATTATGATTAATTATCAGGAGAGAACAGTCCTCTATGAGAGGATTGCTAGCGGAAGCTACGAGGATGACATCATGCTCTCTTCTAGTACATTTAGCCCCCTTGAGTGCAACAATCCAGTGCAAGTGGTGCCAAATTCAGAAAATGGACTTCTGAATTAGGCTCCATTGAATTTGGCTCCATTCCTGAAATAACTCCTCTGTGGCCACTTGACTTTATCAAATATTCGCCGCTGTTTTTGAAAATAGGTCATGCACCCCTGATTACCCCTGGATAATGCATACCAGTTAAAAAATCACTGTACAGGGGAATGAAAGGGCATCATGAATGATTGTGCTAAAATACTTGCACTTTACTTGAAAGTACATTATATTTATAGTACTTTACTTTAAGTATGTTGTAACCAGTGTACTTTCTACTTTACTTGAAGTATATCACGTCTAATTTACTTTGTACTTTACTCGAAGTACCTTTTAGATGTACTTTACCCAACACGGCCCGCAACAGAACGGGCATCTGCCTCATCCCGCCTCTGCTGGGGTGCCCTCGCCACGGTCGCGGTGGGCAACAGCGAGTGTGACGTGGTCGGACGGAAATGGAGGGACCACAAACGAGAGTGCGGTAAACGCACCAGTCGGAGACGCGTTTGGGGCACCCCAGCGTCGGTGGGCCCTCGAGGGCTGCCCTGATCCCCTTTTGCATCCCAGATCAACGGCAGCCCGGCGGAGGGGCTGACCCTGAAGGAGGCTCGCAAGCTGCTGGAGGGCAGCAAGGAGCGCCTGCAGCTGGTGCTCAGGAGGGAGGGGCGCTCCTCCGGCGGCCATCCGGGCACCGACCAGACGGCGCGCTGGTCCTCGGGACACCAGTTCGACGCCAACCATAAGGGTGAGGCTGCCCCGCAAACCTCGTCGGTAGAGGGTCCGGGTCCACAGGCATTTCTGAGCAAACCCTCTGCACTTTTCGTGTTCGTCTGTGCGCTGCAACCAACGAAACGGGTGGCAGATATCTCTTATATACCTACCTCGGCCAAAACGGGGTTAGCTAGCTACGGTGGGAGATAGGCAAACATTACTGACTGGGGAGGACAGTTGTCTATGCTCCATTGCTCTTCGATGGAAAAACAAGTTTGGTAAATCACGAAATACAAAGATGGAATTTTAAAATTTTTCTTGATCAAGCACTGAGAGTTAGCCCTCTTCTTATTTTCACCCGATTTGCTCTCGCTCTTAGGTGGGCTGTCGTTTAGGATATTACGGTCATTCAATCCACCTTTTTTAGATATATTGGTTTCGGGGTAAATGGGTAATTCACAATGGGGACAAAGCGAAGTCTGGAAGAGCCAAACAGGCGGGGGAGGCCTTGCCAATGCGTTGTTTTCTAGCCATTCAGTCCAGGTGGAAGCGCCTATTTGGAAGAAGGTGGAGTATGCTACACGAATGAGGCACCCGCTGAATCTGATACAATATATTAGACGGCTTCAAGCTGAGCTAATTGGTTCGTTGCTATATAGGGTGCCAGCTGAACATGAAGGAAGGTTACATACAGGGAGAGACAGAAAAGGCGTACACACTGCTGGACTAGCAACTGTTTAATTAAGATCATTGTAATCTTTTTCTATACTATTGCATTTCACTCGATGTCTCTCTTTATCTATATTACATTTCATTTAATTGAAGGACGTCTTCCTCCTCTTCTACTCTTATAACCGACCCATCTTCCTAAAGTTTCATTTGTCCACCATGGGTGCGGCCCTTCTCAGATAGATAAGTTCCTTGCGGTGTAGCTCGATGGAAGCCACACTCACAGAATCGTCCGCCTTCTACCAATAGGAAGGGCCTCCAGGACTCCTCAGGCGAACATATTGCGGTTTCTTGCCAGGTTGTTCAGACTACATAACTCTGGCGCACACTGACACACGTGACAATAGGCTGGTAGGTGCCTTGCTTCTGTGATGGCCTTCACTGAAGCCGCAGACTGAAAGGTTCATCTATGACTGGACGAGGGAACATGCAGCTTCAGCGAAGGCCATTGCAGCAGCAGGGCACCTACCAGCCCATTGTCGCGTGTGTCAGTGTGCGCCAGAGTTTTCTAGTCTAAACATCCTGTCAAGAAACCGCTACAAGTTCGTTCGAGGAATCCTGGAGGCACTTGCTATTGACACGAAGGCGGACAATTGTGCAAGTGTGACTTTGATCGTGCCACCCCAGAGGAAGTTATAATAAACAAAACACAAGTTAGTCATGAGTTGTTTATCGATCGGGAGTTTAGTCTGCCAAAACATAGCGACATTGGTACCCACTGTAGACGAGCAATTTAGACAGTGCGGTACAACCGCTAGCCTGGGGTCTATAACATGCATTTCGCAGTAATGATGCACGACCGCACGCCGGTGCGATGCTCATCCAGATTGAAACAGGCAGGGGTGGGGATTGAGTTACAAGGAAGTTATCTATCTGAGAAGAACCACCAGTGGCATATCAACTTGTTCTTGAGTGGGGGGGGGGGGGGGCAAACCAGACCCCCCCCCCCCCCCCCCCAGACAGGGTTGGGGGGTGGTGCCCTTGGTATCCTTGGGCGCCGCCGGCCAGTGTTTGCCCTGACCAGTGGCGGCTGTTTCGGGGGGGTGCAGAACGCATGCCTTGCCCCTCCACTTTGAAACGGGGGGGGCAAGGGGGGCAAGCGCCCCCCTTGCCCCCTCGGTTGGTACGCCCATGAGGACCACACCCATGGGGAACAGATGAAAGAGTAGGAAGATGGCTCGGTTCTACGAGTAGAAGAGGTGGAGGACGTCCCTCAGTTAAATGAAGCGTAACATAGATAAAGAAAACAATGAAGTGAAACACAATATACATGAAGAATAAGATGATCTTAATTAAACAGTTGCTAGCCAAGCAGGCTGTGTGCCTTTTCTGTTTCTCTCTGTATGTAACGTTCCTTCATGTTCAGCTGGCACCATAAACAGCGATATATGAGTTTCTAATTGGCAAGTACTCATTATGTTTATGTAGAGTCTCATTATATAGAGTCTCATTATGTTTATGTACATATTATGTTTATATCACTATAGTGAGAGTGATACGTTCGACTTGCAGTAACGCTGCAGCAAGAGTTGTCAGTTGGTCAGGGAAGGCCTGACCCATTCGCAGGAATTAGTTAGATCAGAAAATAATTGTGTTGGTTTTAAATATTTTTTGACTAGGTAAGTTTTTCGAAACTATGATTGGCATATAAAACTGTCCGATTCAGTCCTTTTCAGGCGATCTGGGCATTTAGATCTCGAGGTACAGTAGAAATGTGGATATAATATAGGACAGCCTATTTCTTGCGGTGACTTAATCGTCACCAGAAATGTAGACCTCCAAAGAAAAAAGATTCTTAAAAAATTAATTGTTCGAACAAATACTCGTCGCGAGTGGATGCTCTGCGTGTAAGCCCCACCAGATGGTGAAATTTTGTTCCCATTACCACTTTACTACCTTCAGATTGAAAAGAGGCACGTGGGAAAGGTTGTGACTTTTGAGCGACTAATTATGAAGTCCTTTAAAGCATATGCTGCAAACAGTTGTGGGACTCGCGCATTATTGACGCTGCAACGTGCCACTTCCTTTTTGTCGCCGTAGATGCCAGCCCCAACTTTGTGGACGTCACGGGTGCCAGGCCCCACTGGTCCAACCAGAACCTGTATGTCCAGCCGCCCACGAGAGGTGAGGGTGCACTGCCTGCCTTTTGGGAGGGTTTTGCCGAAACTCACTCTAACTCCTCGGGCTTTCAGACAAGATAGCAGACTGCCTCGGGCTTTTTACTGCTCTTTGAGTGGGGTGTAATCTTTCACTAATTCAACCTCTACAGGACCTTGAAATTTGGTCAAATTATCTGGACACTGAATTGCATTAAAGGGCAACCCCACTTAATTTAGAATCTTTTTGCATAATTAGTGATTTCACATTAAAAAGTGCTAATAGAAGACGTTACGTTCTTTGCTTCGCGAAAAAAGGGGTATATATTGTTAAATCTCACTTTAAACATGAGCAGAAATCGAAACCGAGACTTCAGCTCTATTCGGCAACATTGGCATCGGGCCGCCGAAAACATGGCTATCGCGTGGTACGAGATGTCACGTGATCCTCTACCCAACGACGGGTGGGATCGAGGCGGGCCGACGGGCCTCCAATGAGGAGGGCATGTGACAGGAACAAATGTCGTCTGCACCGCACAGTTCGTCACGTTTTGGTGTTTACTACATTTGACGACGTCTGCACAACCGCGGCAACAATCTGCGCATGTAGCCCAGGCGAAAATCAGTCCACCTCCAGCTGGAATATGGAACTGGTCCCAGCTGGAAATGAGGTAGTCCAGCTGGAGCTGGACCCACCTGGAATCCAGCTGGACTGCCTCATTTCCAGCTGGGACCAGTTCCATAATCCAGCTGGAAATGGGCTGATTTTCGCCTGGGAGCGTAGACGAAACTTCGAGAGACATTAATCGCAAACGGTGAGATGACGACAGAAATTGTGATGCGGTTGACAGCGGTAACGACGGGACGGTCAGACAACTCCCGAGAAGCGCACTGCGCAGGCGCGTTACCCTAATCACGTGGACATTGCTGAGCGCCGAAAGGAGTGATTGCTGATGTTACCCATTATGCTTGCCTGGAGAAGTAAAAACAAACAAAAAAGGGCAACGTCGATGACATTTAGCTTAGTGTTGGTTACACCATGCAACGCCATAGCCTCGACTGTGCTGTTGGTTGCACCTTAATTTGCCCGCTAGAGTCGGCAGATTTCAGCAACTTTGCATGTTGCAAAGTTTGCCGGACTGTTTAAGAAACATTTAGACAGAACTAAGTCATAAAATATCTGACGTGTGCTCTTCCGAGGCAATACTGAAGAGGTCTGCATTGTTTTTTCAAAAACAAAAATGAAGCAGAGTTGCCCTTTACTTTAAATGAAAGAATAAAAGCATAAAAGACATACACGGACGACCACGCTGTTTCAAATATCAACAACGTTTCAAATAGAAGGTGTTGTGGCTATTTGAAAGAGTGTGGTCGTTCGTGCACTTCTATGTTTTTATTCTTTCATTTTTAAGCATTCCTTATAACAGTGCGCTCGAATAAACTAGTTGCCCTTTAAGAGTACAAAAATAGACCGAGTCAAACTCACTTTTATTGTCTGTGGTAGTTCATGATCATCTGCTGCCACTTTCTTTGTGCATCTAACAGCGCGTTCTAAAAAACACCATTACTTTGCAAAAAAAAAACAAAACAAGGTGTGTGGGAGAATTATTTTTATCTTATACGTAACAAACCAACTACTCAACCTTGGTTTCAGGCTCTGTATAAGCTTGCGCTTTGCCGTTTTTCACTGACTGGTAAGGCATGTAGCCACCAAGCCAGCATTTGTGTTGCTGGAGTGCAACGTGAGTAACAAGCTCCAGACCACGGTGATAGAAATACTTCAGGTGGCGTAACGGTGCGCCTCCGCCGAAGAACCGTCACGTCCAAGATCGGCACGCGATTCTCTCCCTTTCCGCCAGGGCGCGCCACCGACATGGAGGGCTTTACATGGAGGTCGGTCGTCGCCGTCTTTGGTGAGCAATAGCGTGCGCCGGGCTGCCGGGCTACATCGTTGCGCAGTTTATCGCTTTGTTTCCGGTCGGTCTCGGGGCTTCCGAAAGTTGACGGCAATGGGAAAAACGTGTTTCGTGCCACGGTGCAACGCGGGATATAAAACATGCACGGAAAAGCTGTCCCTTTTTGCTGCTCCCAAAGAAGACGACCGCCTGAAGGTATGGCGTCACGCGATCCCGCGCAAAGACCGCCTGCTGCAGCCGACAGACTTCGTCTGCGAGAGACATTTTAAATTTGTGAGCAAATCGTGGGAAGCCGTCTACAACGGCCACATTCTCGTAAGTGCGCCACGGAAAGCTGCTCTGGCAAAAGATGCAGTGCCAACAAAGTTCCCGGGGTGCCCCAGCTACATGACGAAGAACGAGAAAAAAAGAAAAGGACCCGCAAACCGTCAGTGCCCACCGGCCACCAAGCGGCACCGTGTCACAGAGGAGTGCTCAGAGAGCTCGCATGTTGCCCACGAAGACAATTCGTCACCTGAAGCCTTGCAAGAGTGCACCATGGTCAGTGAAAGTGCATCAGCAAGTTGTGCCGCAGTTGCCGAACCGTCTACCACCATGCCAGTCACAAAACCGTTCGAGAACATCTTCGAAAAGGCAGACAGTGTACCCCTCCCAACTGGTGCCTGGGCGTGTCATAAGGTTGAGGTCGACGGCTTCCAAACTATTGTGTTTTCCGAGTTTCATCCGACTAGAGCAGCGACAACACAAGCAAGTGTTGTGGAAAATGATGGTGCCTACAACTACTACTCTGCCCCACCGACTCACATGGTTGCAAGGAAAGTGATTAGCATTGACGAAGATTTAGGTGTCAATGTGGCTCTGCTGGGTAAGCGAGCAACACTCGAATTCCTAAATCTTTCTGGTGATGTCAGCTGTGTCGAAGATGTTGAAAAGTTGGTTGCGGATTTGCACCAGGCCCGTTTGTGTGCCGGTGGACCAAGCGTTAAGTCGTATCCAAATGTCCACCCAGCAAGTGCTTTTGTTGATGTCGCAGGTCGGTGGCGACACAAGCAATGTGAGTTATTGCTCAAAGACGGTGAAAGTGCGTGCTCACACTGCCAGTGCCTTGTGACTACACTTCGGATTCATGAAAAACGCATGCTGGACAAGACCAGGGATAAGTGACGTCCTCGATATATCCGCCTGACCACTGCCCGGAACAGCAATGTGCTTGCTTTCAGAAGAGCCCAGTATGCATTGAAGAAATCGGTTGATCGTCTAGCAAAGAGAGTGCAGTCACTGAACTGCCAGCTGGACACTCAAGCGAAGTTGTCTAGAATTTCTGATGAAGTTCTGGAGGAAAAACTGAGTGGTTTGCATGTCCCCGAAGCACAAGCAACAGCTATAAAAGAGTGCATTGCAGCTGCCAAATGCACAAACAAGAAAAACAGACGTTACACTGAGCATTGGCTCCTGCTCTGTCTTCTCTTGCACATCTGCAGCCCGTCGGCATATTCCTTCTTAAGAGACAACAACATCCTGCCGCTTCCTTGTGTATCAACTGTAAGGAAGTACTTATCTATGGTTCGTGTCAAGTGTGGCTTTGACACTCGCTTTTTCTCTGCTTTCAAGAAAAAGCTAGCAACAAAAGATACTTTTAAGAGGCATGGGATTCTTATGTTCGATGAGATCCACGTCTGAAGGAGATGAGGGTGAATGCAAAAACTATGACCTATACAGGCCATGCAGACTTTGGAAAGGAAGTGGAAGCACCGAACCAACTAGCAGACCATGGACTAGTGTTTACATTTTGCTCTTTTGGCGAGAGTTACTCGCAGCCTGTTGCTGTTTTTGCCAGCCGTGGCCCTACCAAAGGGACTGTGTTGGCACAGCTCATCCTGAAGGCTGTTCTCCTCCTCGAGGATGCCGGCGCATTTGTGGATGCAATTGTTTGTGACGGTGCTGCGACAAACCGGTCCATGTGGAAACAGTTTGGTGTGACAGGAGCATTAGAGGGTGCGAAGAACAGCTTTGTCAATCCTGCATGTGAAGACCGAAAGGTTTTTGTTTTCTCGGATGCACCGCACCTTATCAAGTGTGTACGGAATCGCCTTGTGAAGCAGAAAGTGCTTTCTGTTAACGGTGCCTGTGTCTTTTGGTCGCACTATGACAAACTTTATGTAGAAGATACGAAGGCTGAAGGCAAGGCGAGGGCTTGCCCGAAACTGACGTTTTCTCATTTATACCCTTCGAACACTGAAAAAATGCGCGTCAAGCTAGCAACTCAGGTGTTCAGCCTCAGTGTTGCAAATGGTCTGGAGTTTTACTCTAAGAGAGGAACCGCGGGACTTGGAAATGTCCAAGGTACAATTGACTTTACAGTGCAAATGAATAACCTTTTTGATGCGCTAAATCATAGGCACCCAAAGGAAGGTCTAAAGCTAGGTGGAAAAGATTTCAAAGTACTCGAATCCTCTTTGAAATGGCTCAATGACTGGGAGAAAGAACTGAAGGCAGGAAAAATTAGTCCTTACAACTTTTTATCACAATCGACCGCTGAGGGGCTGCGAGTGACCATTCTCTCAACGATTCACCCTTCGGAGTATCTGTTGACGAAATGCAATTTCAAGTTTGTGTTAACTGCAAAGTTTAATCAGGATGTTCTCGAAAAATTTTTCGGAGTGGTACGTCAAGCAGGTGGACAGAATGAACATCCCTGCATGCCTACGTTTTTGCAACTGTATAACATGCTTTGTATTTACAGTCTTGTGAAGCCGCCTAAGTACGGCAACTGTCAAGTTCATGCCAATGAAGAGCTGCGTCTCCTAAGCTTGTCCGATCTAACCACAACATTTAAGGAAGATGTTCCGTGCGAGTCACGACTAGAAGAGCTCAAGAGGAGACTTGACGGTTGTGTTGATGATGAGGTTGAATGTGAGGATGTATTTGATGGCGCCCCTGCATCAGCCACTGTCACCGAATGCATAATTTATTGTGTATCAGGGTTTTTGTGCAAGAAACTGCTAAAAAACACAAGCTGCTCAGTGTGCAAGACTGGACTAACGACCACAGCTAGCGCTGCATCATGTGCAAGACCCGAAGCAGCTCTAGTAGTTTGCAAGGCGCGAGGGGGACTGCTGCATCCCAATGCTGCTTTGTTATGACTTCCGTATGAAACAGAGAAAATATTTCAGAAGCATGCAAGTGAGAAGCACGCGTACGACATAATCATTGAGCATGTCCTGGACAATTTCCACTTGTCATTTCCTTGCCATGAACACAAAGTGGAGGTCATGGCGCACATTTTGCACTACTATGTTGGGATGCGAATGCGTCAGTACTGTAAACAGCTCAAAATTAACCAGGCAAACAAAACTCAAAATTTACACAAGCTCTCAAAAGTAGTTCAGTAGACCGCTTCTCCTGAACCGATCCATAAAGTTTGAAGAACAGGAAAGGTTTAATATGGCAGACATTTCAGAGAAAAAAAGAACAAAAGCTTACGAAACGAATGCCTTATTAGATCTCTTCAGCTCTTCAAACTTCTTTTATCATTATGTATATTTACTTCATGAGTTTTTTTTTTTTTTAATAGAATCAGTGTTTACCTAAAAGTGCACGAGTAGTTTGCCTTTCGTTTGTCAAATGCTGCTTTTTCCTAAAATGAAAGGCAGTGTAACTTCTCTAATAAACAAAATTTATAAATCGAAGCATATCTCTGCCTCGTTTCGTTTCTGCGCCAGAACTAAAGTTCAATGAGTCCTCACTGTCAGTAGGCCAGCTGCATCAAAGAATTTTAGTTGATCGTTTTGGCGTAATGTTGCAATAAAAAAAAATAAAAAAAGTTGCATGCTGCCGAAAGGCACTTTCTATGTATTAGTTGTAAGTGAGGCTCATGAACATAGACATCTTTTAAAACGTGCCGTTTTTATTTTAAAGTAGACTTGTTTGTGCAAACGAGAGAACCATTTTGCCGGTGCTGCTGATCGGAGCATACTTAATACGCAAATAGCGTACCGTCGCCACGACAGCACTTCAGCGTCCCGTTTTTTATGATCGACTATGAGCCGCTTGCATGCCGACAGGGCGCTTGGGTCCGCGTTCTTCGCTTCAGAAACGAAGGAAGCACGCGCCATACGCACAAACGCTGGAAATGACGCTATCGAAAACCCCTTTTTGGAATGGTTAATAGCCTTATATAATATCAGAAATATCCACCGCCGCTTAAAAGTACCATAGTCAACTTTGTCCAAAAGTTTAAGTCATGTAAAGCTTCGCTGCAGTTGCTGAACGCTTCACTGCGCGCGTAGCAGGCGGCCTCGCCGCTTCGGGTAGACCTTGATGTATGTGGCGCCATGTGGTGGCGCGTATGAGAACCAGGGACGAAAGTTCGACGCCTCCGAAGGCGGCGTTACGCCACCTGACCTTTCTTATACCGTGCTCCAGACTGTGGAAAGAAACGTCGTTCCTCTCGTACATATCCTCGATCCCAAAGTTGTGCCCGGCCAAAGATCTCGTGCATGACCGCTTCGGGGGCATTGCTCCTCTCCCCCGTGCAGGAGACTACCGGCCTCCCCCGCCCCCCGAGCGAGCGGACGAGAAGAACAACCTGTCCCGGTGAGTGGCCTCCCCTTCCCTCCGAGTACGGTGCCCTGACCGCGTCTCGCCGGTGCGTCTAATTGCGTCCAGAAAAGTGGTCCCTCGATTTCCACCCGAGGAGGTCGTAAAAGCACCACGTCGTCGTCGCATTATTGGCAAGGGACGTGCCAGACGCCTGTACTGCTGCAGGTTGCGATCGAGCTCGACAGTTCACGTTGGGATGCCTTTACGACGGCGAAGCATTTGAAAGCATTAACTGTCCCATGGAGCGAAGCTAGCATTGGGTGTAGCCGTCCGTAGCAGAAAAACGGCACCTACGAGTGGAATTCCCAATGGTTGCGACGTGTCATATCGGATGCTTCGTCACAGAAGCCACCGGGGCGCTTGAGGTCAAAGCGGATGCGCCTAAGAAATAAAACGCAAAGAAAAGCAGATCGACGCAGATGCATTGTTGTGTGAAGCCGTGGAGCCAGCGGGCGTGCCGCGCTTGCGCAGTGGGGGAGTGCGATGTTGCCGCCGGCGCGCCGCATGAAAAAGGAAGACGTAGTGCGCTGCTCGTAGGAATGCGCTGTGTGTAGGGATGCTTTTGCAATCTTACACGTGAGCATTTTTTAGTGTCGTTCTTTAATCTCGCCCCGCGCCAACACGCTCTTGTCCATCGATTTTTACCGGAACTTTTAGCAACAACTGCCGTGATGTCAACATCTGACGGCGCAACGACTCGCGCGAGGTCGTTCGTTGCCGCTTGGGGACCACTTTGGTCGTATGGGTGGACGTACACCGGCGAGAGGCACGTTCTAGGGGCCGTACCCGAAGGATTTTACCCCCTCTCACGGCCTGCCCACGTGGCATTTTCGATGGTCCCGGCAGAGGCCAGGCCGGGCGTAACCGTGGCCCGCTCTTGGACATCTCCCTCAGCCAACTGGACCAGCCCGTGGGCCAGCCGCCCGGTCGGGACGCGGACGGCACCCCGCCCAGGCCGCCTCCCCCGAGAGTCAACGGTCAGTGCCCGCTCAAGGGGCGACAGTTGCAGGAACACAAGTCGAGACGAGGCGACGGTTTTGGTGATTTGCGAATAAGGAAGAGATGTGTAGCTCTCGACATAAATCTCATTCTTGTCAAACTGACGAAAAGTAACAATTTAGGATGACACGGCATTGTTATCATTTCTAGTTTTGTGCCCTTGTTATACCAAAATATTTGGTAAACTTTCCTAAGAAAGTTACCAAAAACCTCGAAGACAAAAAAAAAAAAAAAAAGAATAATCTGGGAATTTAGGTACTTCATTGTTTTGGAAGCCTCGATAAAAGGAAACGAATTGTTGGCTCGGTCGATGTTTTTTGTTTGGTTCAAGACTGGCGCAAAACTTTCCGTCGCACGTTTGCAGAGTACGGGTCCCGGCGAGACAAGTTTGACGAGGACCCCCTGGCGAGGCGAGGCAAGGCACCGGCGTGAGTGGTCCCCTTGTCACCTTGGTCCGGGACTCCCCTCTAGCATCACGCATCATAAAAGATTGTCCGTTTATAGACTCTGTGACGCGATTGCTGCGCCATCCGTGCCAAGCTGCACCAAAGTGCTTACCTACTAAATTTCGTCAAAATCTGTTGAATTTGCGCCGACGTTGCACCGAAACCTAATTTCACTTTATTAATACTGAAAATATGATAGCCGAAGACCGGCTAAACAGCTGGATCATTACGGTAGGCTTGCCTGAATTTTAAAAACTTTTGATTATCACCTAAAGTAACATACTACTCGATTTGATCTTTGTATCAAACACTGACCGTACTCGGAAGTCGCGCAATATTCTCACGTTCGAGGTCTGTTCTGGCGGGTTAGGTGGCTTCGTTGAGTGCGCTTCTCACCATGCACCTGTGCACTGAAGTGAAGCGAAAAGCGCGAGGTAGGCGTAGTGATTTTTCCCGTCATGCTTCACCGCAGCGCCGCCACATACGAAGGAAAAAGCACTTCTCCCAAGTGAAGGACACAGAAGTGTCGGGTATATTAAAAAATAAAAGGGACTTTGTATGTACTCATTCTGCCTTGCACTAAAAAGTTGCGAATAATACTGTAACTAGTATATGTGAAAGACTGCAATATTCTGATAATTTTTTGTTCAAACTTGCAAGGATACTTGCGTATTGCGGAAAGATTTATATGAACTTCTCTATAAGCTTATCTTTTTATGCCATCTTTCTTATTTAGCTATTACCTTTGCATAGGTTCCATCTGTGCAATGGCATGGTAAGTTGGAGTAAACGAAAACTCGATTAGCTGGACGAGTGATGCATACTTAGGAATAACCTTAATGAGTTGGACTGGATTGTTTCTGAGGCTGATTTATCGTTCGAAATGCTGATTCTTGTTATCATGAGGGTCCGCGTATACAGTTGAACCCCAACCTAACGAGATTCGCGATTTAACAATATTTTTTTCGTCTTCTTATCTTGCTTCCATTAAAGGTCATGTATTTTATCTCTCGATTTTGCAAAGTACTTTTATGCCACAGTTTCGATTTAATGGAGTCTTTGAAAATCGCACATATACATATCAGCCTCCGCGAGAAAAAAAAAATTAACAGAAACAAACCTTATTGTTGAAAGTAAGCATAGAAAAGTGCAGTCACCTTTCCCACAAAATAAAAAACGTACACACCGGTGATGGTGGTGGTGATGACGATGAGTAGCCTTGTAGCCTCTGCTGCTCGTGGAAAAAAAAGATGTCTGTCATTACATGCACCTATGACCAATGAACTAGAGCCCCTGTGCATCTGCAACAACAAAAACCGTATCGTGCCTCGAGCGTTGTGCTGGAAGTGGTTGTGTCCTTTTTGGAACAATGACTGGTGCACCGCGTAAAAGGAAAGTTCTGTTGCTTGACATCGAGACGAAAATAATCGCTGAAGTAACGAATGGCGAAAAGAAAAAGACGGTTACTGAGAAGTATGAAACTTTGCAGAGTTCCCTTTCGATGATTTGGAGGTTAAAAATGGCATTAAGGCTGCCGTAAGTGCCAATGGTTGCTTTCCCGACTGCACGCTCTCCTGCGGTGCTTGGCACTGCTTCCATAACCGTACAAAATGATGGTCGATGAACTGCATTCTTCTATTACCGCCACATTTTGTAGATGAGTTTTAATTGTAAATGCTCACTTGCAAGATGTAAGGCAATTGGAGGGTTTTGGGAGCGTGGAAGACCAATTGCAATGCTAAAAACCAAAATTCTCAATCCAACGAAATTAGCGATTTAACGAAATTTTAAGCTCAAAAGACGACTTTGTTAAATAGAGGTTCAACTGCAGTTAAATTGTCATTGAGTTTAATAATCAAATGACAAAAGCTTTGTTTTTGTCTGAATTAATAATTCCAGTTTTATTACAACCAACCTTTAGGACTTCAATGATACACCAACTTGGGTGCTCAATATTATTTTGTTTTAACATGATTTTCATGGAATATACTATTTGGTTTACCTTATGTTCCGTACCTAAAATAACCGTTCACAGCAGATCATACTGTCCTGCTCAGCTAGTTCTGTGCTAGAGGGAACCAAGCCTGCCGTGCAATTGATGATAACAAAAAGTTGCGCGGAAGTTGGAAGGACAGTAGACAGTGTCTCTCGATGGACAGGCCAACACATTCATTTGAACGTATAATATTTGCAATGCTAGGAATGAAAATAAAGTGTAAGCTTGCGCTCCAACATTTCTATTTGCTGCTCCAAAATGGACTTTTAGCTGCTCCAAAAGGTGCTCCAAAATGACTCGGACGGATCGCATCACTGCTTTCCTTACCGTGGGAAAAAGTGATTTTTAAGGAATGGAAAACACATTCTTTTTTTTTTTAAACTAATCGGTGTATGGCTCATTATGATTCTCTAAACTGTAGCCAATATGCTGCTAAAAATGAAGGAAAGGTTAAAATAATGTCTGGAAAAAGTTTCTGAATTTTAGTTGTCGAACTTGTAACTTATGCACGTGCAAGTACATAAATTATAAACATTTGCGGCTATATCAGATCATCCTATGCATTGAAAGAAATTCTAAATGTACAAAGTGTGGTTTATACCCAGCACTATTACTTCTGTAAGTTACACCGCTCCGTCTTTTGTTTCGTCTGTCGGCAACATAGCTCGTGCGGCACCGGTGGCATTCAGAGAGGCTGCTGCACGCAGTAGTGCACATTCGGGGCCTCGGAGACGGAAACATCACCGTCGGAGCTCAAATCGGACGATAGGATGCCGTCCACAATCCTCGCTGCTGCTGCCACGCAAAAGACAAGCGGCAGAAGCGGTTAAATGATGCGATCGAGGGCATCTTTGTAGAAGTCCTGGATGTCAGCTGGACATCACATTTGACCGGTGCCACTGCCGCGCGGAAGTTTGTTTTCCGACAGCTCCCGAGCTGGTTAGAAAGTGCGAAACAAAATCAAAATCTCAACAATAATCCTTCGTACGTCTTCGAGAGAGTGCGAGGCGTTTTCGCTCGTACAATTTCAATTTGGGCAGCGTGCGGTAGCCGTCGATTACGGGGAATGGACAACCTACGGGCACGGTGCGGAAAGAGTTGATGGGATCTCTGATGGGCCCTCTTTCCCCTGTCCAGGTGCGACCCCCGCTACGTGAGCTTCCAGAAGGAGGGGGGCAGTGTGGGCATCCGGCTGACAGGGGGCAACCGGGTGGGCATCTTTGTCACGGCCGTGCAGCCGGGCAGCCCTGCCTCTCTTCAAGGCCTGCAGGCGGGGGACAAGATCCTTAAGGTGCCGTCCTCTTTGCCGCTCCCATAATCTCCTGTCCAAACACGACTTTTGCTAGGCACCCTACAAAAGGAAATCCAGTGGCCTTGTTATCAGGAAGCATTGGGTCACTTCACCCTTTCCTGTAAGAGTTAAGAAGCGTCAAACTCCGGGCTGCCTATCTTAAGGCATTACTAAGATGTAGAGATGCTGCAAACTTTTTCTTTTTTCGAACCAAGGGGTTCAGAGGGTTCGAAAATCTTTCAAAATGTCAAACGTATCCCGTAAAAAAATTGGGCGATTTCAAACTTTTGAATTTTTGGCGCTGGAACGTTCAACTGTTTCGGAACTTGCAAACTTTTTGTGCTAAGAAAATAGATGATTTTCAAACTTCCAAACTCGCTAAGTTCAAAAGTTTGATGAACTTTGAACTTCTGAACAAAAGTTCAACAAACTTCCGACCAAGTTTATCTCCGGAGGTTTAGAGCAACTAGGGTATTATAAATAATGCGAGATAGGAATGTGTGTGGAGTGAAGTAAAGACTATGCTTTGGGCGGCCTCGTCCTTGTGCCTTCTAACTTTTTCATCCGGCTTTGGCACGGACTCCGCACACGACTCTGTAGTTTGCCTCAAGGTGACCGGTGGACCGAAGGATTCCTGATCTGCGAGCTTAAAATTCGACCGAGGCACTTTGCGGAGGCGTCCTTTATATAGTTATAATGGACTTCTTCCATAACCGACGCGCCCCATCGCGGCGAAATACGACGCAGTGCACTCTGGGAACTAGTTGGCCACTCAGTTTCGGTTTCGACTGAGCAGCTCCATCTCATGCTATCGCGCCGCGACCGAACGCGCTGCTTGCGTTTTCGATTATCTGACTTTTCACGAACGTACATTACACTCATTTTGGGGCGATACAAAATGAACACCGGGGCACTTTCCTTGGTTCCGGAAACACCGGATATTATGAGTGCGTATGCAAATGTAGTAAGACGTGGCTTAGTCACCTCACCTTTGAGTTCAATTTCAATAATCAAGTCTAGTAACAGTGAACAACAACTGAAATTTGGTCACCTGGAGCCTTACACGTATTTTGTTTGCCAAACGTCCGCTTCTTGTTACTTCATTGGGCGAAAAGCAAGCCGCATCCTCACAGGAGTATCAAATAAAGTTGAGCCCAGCGTTGACGCATAAACTTTTAAGGAAACGCAATAAATTCGACCTCACTACTGCACCAAAGTTACTATGTTATCTTCCTCGTGTCATCATGTATCTCCCACTCAAATTTTATGCTGATAGAAGATTAAGTTTTCGCAAACGCTGAGATCGGCTAGCTACGACGGAGGCCCTAACAAGCGTCCCTACTCCTCGCTAAGCCTTTTTGGACGAGCTTTTACTGACGCCCAAGATCTGTGCATGACCGGTGTGTCTGAAATTATCTCGGCATACTCAGGCAGGAAGAAAGCAAGCACATAACAAATATTATGGCCATTAGCAACCATCAAATGCACTTTGAATAATTTCGTTCGTTTGGCGCACCGCATAGGGGTTCATGGCCGTCCGGCATACTTCAGGTGAACGGTGCGACGTTTTTCACACAAGTGCTCGACTTTTGCTTTCTTAAAACGGTTTGTATGTGCGAATTTGCGTATACGATTGCAGGATAACGTTATGCGCATACGCGATGTTGAATATTAATAAAATGCAAGTGGGTGGGGACTTCGTTTCGTGCAGTGCTGCGGGTCAGTACAGATAAGAGATAAGAATTGAGCTTTTCAATGGCGCCTCCGGGTTTTACCTCACGTACTCAAGCGTATTAAGAAAACAGTAATTGCAAAGAGTAATATTTCGTCTTGGACGCACAAAACAAACAAACTTCCTGATCAACAACACTAATGTAAAGTCGCGAGCTCGATGTGTGCATACTTATTGGTTGCTGCAGCTTGTTAATTCGTACACAAGCAAGACCCCCGAGCTTCACAGCGTCGACATTCCCGGCACTGGCTGGTCCACATACCTCGAAACGCTAACAGAAAGGCTCAAGTACAAAAATACAACAAGCGTGTGTTAAGACAAGCTATACGTCTCGCGCTTGTGCTAAAGCTTCGAGGTCTGGCCATTTAGGTTAGTTTAGAGACCACAAATGACGCTCTCGGGACCGGAAAACGACGACGTGTCGACGTGTCGATCGAAACCGAAACCCTGCCACCCTCCTCCCTGGCCAACTAGTTCCCAGAGTGCAACGTGCGCCGTGTTGCATGCAGGGCTTTATGGAAGTAGTGTATTAGAAACCAGCACACAGGTCGACAGCCACTGTGCACAGGTCTACCTGTGCGCTGGCTCAAAATTGTGCCTTACCAACTCGCCCAATCTGCAGTATTGTTTCTGAACGCATGTCCCCTGATTTTCTCGAGTGAGCAACTAGTCGGGTAAAAGGAGAGCGCAGTGCCGATGCGCTGCAGTGAATGCAAAATTGGCGCTTACTCCATTATCATTGGGAGCTGCCCACATTTTAGAGTAACCAATATCTTCCTTAATGAAAGATGAAAAGTTTAAGATAGCAGCATGTGGCAAGTTCGACAACAACCGGTTGTGACCCGATTGGCGGTATTTTCGGGGGTCGGGCAACCTCAGAACGCAACCTCTGGTTGCGTTCTCCTTAACTTTGACTTGTGTCAGGTGCTGTGCCTGTGTCCAGTGTTTTCTCCATACTACGTGTCATCCCACCGAAAATAAATGCCCAGACAAACTAAAGACTTTCAAGAAGCCTGGATACCTTTATGTGCATGCCTTGTCTCGTGGTATGCTTCATTGTCTCATGCCAGCATCACATTTAAGCGAAGTTTGATCGGATTGCTGCTAATTTTCAAAGATAGGAAGCACATTCACCAGACCGCGCACGTTACGCTGCCATAACTTAAGTTCGGAGGAGGCAGGCGGCAGTACACAAGACGGTTCGTGCCGTCTCGTGCTCCGTGCGCGCAGAGCTCCAGTGTGGTTGCCCCATGTACGTGAAGACTGGAGCTCCCTCAATGCATTGCGCTCTCCTGTGGCGTAACAAATCTTGCTGGTGAGATCAATCTATCGCTGCAGGTGGCGACATCCCGGTCCCACTTGGTCCCACCGCATAGATTAGGGCCCCTGCTCTTTACTCGACATATTCGGCTTCTCAGCATTGCACATCACGATCCTGTGATTTTGACTCGGACTCTACGACCTTTTGTGCCTTACGGTCACCTCATTACCCCGAAAGAAGGAATTTGAGAACTTCACGGTGCATGGGGACTCCCGCAAAAGATTCTATTGAGCATGGCACGTCACGTAGGGAAAAGATAAAGACAAGGATGCCGAGAGATAATGATGCATGTGAAGCCTTTGCGCAGTCCCGTAAGCACACATTAGAGTGAACACCGTGGAAAACAACACCTAAAATCTGAATTGGGCCATTGCGACTCCGATGGAATCTGGCGGAATGCGTTATACCGTCTGGTTCTTGGAGCGATATTGTCTCCACTTTGGCCACTGGTTGAGTGCTCTTTCGCGGGTGACACCATCCGTGTTCCTGCATGTGGGCGACGGCCTATCTCCGGCCTCTTCCTCCCAGGTGAACAACCTTGACACGCGCGGTATGACCCGCGAGGAAGCGGTACTGCTGCTGCTCAACCTCCAGGACCAGGTGCACCTGGTGGCACAGTACTGCAGGGACGGTGAGTACGCACCCCGCTGTCAGGCGTTTTTTTAGAACGCAGCTCTTAGGGGTCCGTTTCCGGCTTGAGTGGCGTCGGCGTAACCGCGAGGTCACGTGACCCCCCCTTCCTTTGAGCTCACATGACCCCCCCCCCCCCCCCCCCCCCCCCCGAGGTCACGTGACCCCCTCCCCCCTGAGGTCAGGTGACCCCCCCCTCGAAGGAGATTGAAGAATGAGGGGAGGAGGAGGAGAAGGAGGGGGAGGGGTACACCCTCCCCTCAATACCCTTCCCTCCTCCTCCTCAAGAGCTGCGCTCTAATTCGGCGTTACAGGGAGTCGTAAACGGCCTTGACTTTTTAATGCAGGATGTGTTTGTACGACCATTTCTACGGAAAACTAACGCACGACCACCGTGCTCCGCCCTTACACGTAGGTTAAGGCGACATAAAGCGTATAGGTGCCGTGAAGTCATTATTAGAACGGGAGTACAAGAACGTTCCCGAGGGAGAATGAACTCTGGCCCGAATGATTTCCAGCCATTTGCTGTAAGCGGCCGAGCTAAGCGGAGCAGGTTGGTGGAAACAGTGAACAGTTGGTTTATAAAATCAAAATATTATGCTAGCTCGATCACTTCCACAAACACCGGGGGGACACTGGATGCATTAAGCTAGCACACGCGGGAAGTGTGTGGTTGCACTAGCCTCGCACACACCGGCCAACGCCCGTCGCACGCAGACAGCATGCGCAACACACGCACTTCGTGTTGATGGTAGCTCAGCGTGTTCTGTGTCCCCCAGTCCTCGTCGGCACGATCAAACTAGCGTAAATTTCTTCTTTCTCGATTGGGTAAACTGTCGGGAAGTGCGTCGAGCTTCTTTTAGGCAGTTTGGTTCGACCAGGGCTGCGCAAGGAGATTAGAAAGAGCCCTTTTATGGGAAATGCAGTTGGCTAAAGCGTCCACTGCCCAGAGCTCTGTGAAAGTGCTGCCTTTGTCTTTGCAGAATACGACGAAATAGTGGCCAGCCAGAAAGGCGATTCCTTCTACATCAGGTGAGTCGAGGCCACTGTCGGACCGGCCGGTGGGGTGTTGTGCCAGTCAACTGAGCAGTGGTGCTGCACTGGGGATGTTTAAGGGCTCCAGCCTTCCCTTTGGGGCTGTGGGTGTTGAGGGTCCAACTTGGCTTTAACTTGGGAAGGGGCTAGCAAAGGGCAGTTTTTGAGTAGTTAGTACGAGGACAAGCTTGCCTACTGACCTCCACGATACATGCAGACGAGACTGGGTGACTCCCTTTGGTACGAACTGTAAGGTGTACTACTGTTCTTTGCTTCAGAAGCTACTCGCCGCTGCAACGGTATCAGCGGCGATGGGAGCTGTGTTGCGACCATTGGCAATTCGTTGCTCGTAGCGTTGCCCCTTTTCCTTTCTCGACCTTCGGGGCGTCTATTCCGAGAGTGTCTTTACCTCATCGTCTGTTTCTGTTGCATCTGTGTTTCTCGGCGTCCGACGGCTTTGTGTTCTCGTGCCAGGACGCACTTCAGCTACGAGTCTGGGGGCAAGGGGGAGCTGAGCTTCCATGTGGGGGAGGTGTTCCGGGTGGTGGACACCCTGCACAACGGCACCGTAGGCTCCTGGCTCGTCTTCCGCCTGGGCCGCAACCACCAGGAGATCCAGAAGGGGGTCATCCCCAACCGGGCCAGGTGGGCCCACCCTCGTCCCCGGACAAGTCTTTGCAGCACGGTCATGCGGAGACTGATAGCACTTTACTGGGATTGGGGATGCAAACAATGAAAATGAAACAGCTTAAAGAGATGCAGGGGCAAGCAAAAAGGGATACTAGACAAGGGTGCCGTCTCTTTGTATCCTTGTGTCGTCCTTCTACCATCCGATTCTTGTAACACCTACCGACTTCCCCAACTACTGTATTTACTCAAATACCGTATTTACTCGTATAATGAACACACTTTTTTTCTCAAAAAATTGATACATAAATGGGGGGTGCATTCATTACGCAGGGTAAAATTTTTGCATTTACACACTTGCGCAAATGTCATTTTAGGTGCCAGTATGACATGGCAGAGTACTGTGGTACGTCTCCACTGACAGAGGCGCACCCATGGCTGGTCTTGGGCGCGCCACAGGAAACATGCTGTATAAATTGCGAACCTTTTTAGGGCGCTTTTGGCATGCCTTTTGCCGAAGAAAAAGCGCCCTGCGAAGCCCACTCGGCATGAAGAGTGACACAACCATTCTTAGTCTTAACCACTTTCACGATATCACTGTCCGAAAGCGGATCACAGATGATGGCGTGTTTGTTCACATCAATGCATCCGATGGACGAAGCACGTCCGGGGCTGGGAAATTCCTCGACCCCAGCTTCGCTAGGCGTGCGCGCCACTCGGTTTCACAGTCGATCACTTCTGCAACCACGCAATTCCATCCATTAAGAGAGTGGCTTGGCTTGACTTGGCCTGGCCGCATGGCGGAAAAAGAAAATTGGCTTCAAAACTCGTGGAGCCGAAAATTAAAAATCCGTTCATTACGCGAGAAAAAGAAAAAAGTGAATATTGTTGCCCGTTTTAAAGGGGTAGGGAAACGAAATTTCAGCGCTCATTTTCTAGCTTTAATGTGTTGCATGTTGCACCCTAACCTCAAAAACACCAGTCTTTCGTTGAAAAGCACAAGAAAACTAATTTTAAAGCTAAATAAACTATCTTCAATGTGCACCTGGTGGATGCATGCGGAGCCTATTTGGGAGCGTTGTGGAATCTGCTACGTAGTCGTGACGTAGCAGATTCTTTCGGAGCAGCGCCGCTCTTTGGCATTTCAACGTTTTCCTTCTTATCTTTCCTCCTGAACTCACAAATCGCGCATTGTACCAAGCGGTCCAAGAAAACGGAACGGAAGGACTCCCCTATTTCTCGCACCCTCGTTCGTGCAACCGGAAACAGCCATTCTCCCCCTAGAAGATTAGCCCGTCTCTCAAAACTCGAACAAAAGTTGGTTTCCCCACCTCGTTCAGCCTTGAGCTGACAGTGTTGTGGAAGCTACGTGCTCCTTGGGCCAGCCACACGCTCGTCACCCCAGGGGTACTCCGAACGGCTCGGTTGTAACGCGCTCACGCTATTGACACCCACACAACGCTGACAACGCCACCAAGGGCAAAGCTCATAATCACGCCAGCCTTGCTACGTCACGAACGCGGGGTATCTTTTCTTTCTGTTTTTGTTTGCGCCGGATATCCCATGACGCATGGCGCTCTCCATTCGCTTCTCTTCGAGCGCTTGCTCGAGTGCACCGTTTGGAACGAAAAATATAGCCAATCGTTCAAAATACAAACGTGCGATTATCATTTACGGTTATTATCCGTCGTGCTTAACTCATTTACGAACGAAATCTGAATATTTCAATTTTTGTTTTCATACCCCTTTAAGGGGTGCGTTCATTATGCGAGTGCGTTCATCATGCGAGTAAATACAGTATAAGTCGACCACAAATATAGGTCGATACCTTTATATTATACTCGCCGAGAATAAAATAAAAAAATAACTAGAATATATGTCAACCTTTTTTTTTTTAAGGGGGGACACCACCTTAAAATTGTGATTTTTGAGAAAAAAGTTACCTGTCTTAATCTTTATGTATTCTGGTTTCACAACTCATGGTGTGCAAATTTTTACTGCAATATCTAAAATATTTACGCAGAAATAAAACATTTTCGGCGAGCTGTCAATGCAAAATCATTTGTTTTGCAAATGAGAAATTTCTTAACTGCTGTAGCTCCGCACTGGTAGTCCCTAGAATGATGATCATTATCTCGTTGAAAAGAGCATTGCTTTGCAGTTTCAGTACATTAACCAGTTTTGTTTGGGAGTAAACACTATTTTGGCAAGAACACCATAGAAGTCCAGCTTTCACGTGGAAGAGGCTATGCACATGGACAAGAATCGGAAAGCCTGTGCTCATTGAACGGAAAATTGAAGCTAAATCCAGCAATCGTATATAAAAAGTCACGTGGGTTTGTCTGCTTTGTTTTTCGATGATACTTCCCCCACCCACAATTGCACCACCACCAGTAAAATCAAAGGCAGTGGTCTGAAAACGGGAAATAGGCTTTTCTCTGTTTCACTTTTTTGCAGCAACTTTCGTCTTGGGAAATCTATCATTTCAATGAAGTGCAGAATTTATTCTACGCTGTGGATATTTCTGAACTGAAATTGAATGAGGAATGCGGTTAGATATATTTTTCAACATTTTAATGAACTTCTTATTGTTAAAAAGTAGGGTTTTGATGAGGAGAAAATGCCCCATTATGTGGAGCGTTTTTCACATTAACATTTTGCATAGAAAAAACACAGATTTTAGCCACATCCCCCATATGTTCTAGTTATGGCTGAAGCTTAGAAATTATTGAGCAGAACGTAAAGGCGCAAGTGAGCTGGTGTATATTAAACATTTTAGTAAAAAACCCGAGACTGCGGTAATGACAGAGGACGACAAGGAAGAGAAGGAGAATGTGTTTGAGACGTTCTCCTTCTCTTCCTTGTCGTCCTTTGTCATTACAGCAGTCTCGGGTTTTTCACTAAAATATTAGAAATTATCAATATTTTGCAGCAATTTTATACAATACATTTCCTTGCCAAGTGAGGTGACTTACATCAACTGCTGTATACCTACCCCCTGTAGCTTATCGGAAAATTGTCCTACAGAGGTGAAATGTCATGCAGTGCATTTAAACAACAAGGTGCATAGACTCTCAATATTTCAGGAATATTGAGCGACTCTTTTGAAGATCGACAATTGAAGGTGGTGCCACCCCTTATAGAACAAAGAAAGGTTTGGGCAAAACAAACAAACAAACCTTTATTTACAGTGCTCTCAGCTAAATCACAGCGCGGTGCCAGAAACTTTATCATCAGAACTTCCGGACATGTCATCGTCGTCGGAAGCTTCGTCAGCTTTGTAGACATCCTCACAAATAAATGTGAGTTTGCAAGGAATGAAAGCCGATTGCAAGAGCAACATCTGGCCAGCTTCTAGACTAGAGGTGCGGGCGGGGGTTTGTTGCGGCGCTATTCTTTTCTCAGACCTTCTGCGTGGTGCTCTCCAATGCTGCAGGGCAGAGGAGCTGTCCCAGGCACAGCAGAGCCAGGCCAAAAAGGAAGCGTCTGCCGAGAGCAGCCGGGGCAGCTTCTTCAAGCGCCGCAGTGCCCGCAGGGCCAAGGCGCTCTGCAAGGACCACTGGGAGGACGTCCTGTGCGGTGGGGGAGCCCCTCTTTTATGCGTCGAGGCGGGCCTTCAAGAGTCGGGGGAACGTGAAGAACGCCGGGCCTGTCTTTGTTGGTGGCCGGTGCTTTAGCACGTGTTCCATCTTCACAGAATGATCTCAAAAGCTTGCTTGGGTACTGGTTAATGTGCTCCTGCGATCGACAAGAAAAGGGGCACAGGCAAGGGGCACGGACTCTTTTTTTGTGCCGTCCCACAATCTCCTAGAGCGGTGACAATAGACGGGGCCAAAAGCGATGCCGGGAACAGCGTGCGTAGTACTGGCTGTAGCAGACGACGGAAGCAACCTTGGAGGCGACGGAGGATGCGCAGGCGAACGGGAGGGCAATCGAGCAACTGCGCTAAACTCTCTCTCTGGTGTCACATTGTAGATGCCCGGCGGGCAAGGAGAAGCGTTCGAGATGTGCCTATGATTTATTGTACGCTTCACAAGTGGCCTTTTGGGATGTCTGCAAAAAGTTCATTATGATGCAAAGAAAGATTGGATGACAGTTATAAAAAATGTTCCAGGAGGCCGTGGTTGTTGGGTTCATTGTCGGACCAATGGCAGTGAATCTGAGAACTGCTCTAGGATGTTAGCACATAAATCGGTGAGACGCTTGCCCTGGTGTCAATTGCAAGTGTTCATGGTACAGTTCTCATAAGCCTGTCTTGGAAGGGTCTTGCATTCAGACGCAGACACATTCTTTTTTTTTTATTTTGCGTTGAAACTTTGGGCCTATTATGCCGCACTTTATTGTGTCATTGGTACACTTTTTTTTTTATTTAGTAGTAATACCGTACTTACTTGATTCGAATGCGCACCTTTTTTTGAGTAAAGTATACCGTATTTTCCCGACTATAAGTCGCACCCTTGCATACGTTGCACGTCCGTATATTGCACAGTTTTCACTGAAAAGTTGGAATATAAGTTGCACCATTTGTACAAGTCGCACCTCTTTACACGGTTCATGTGACGAGGTTTTTCATAGCGAAATCGTATTTGCGTGCCATCGGCTAAATCGCAAGTACCGTTTGCCGCGCAACTTTGATGTTTTGACTCTTAAGAAATTTCCACAGCACGGCACTCTCTGGGGGAAGTGGAATGATTTGGAGCAAAAGGATGTAAAACGCACAAAATGAGAAGGTTATCTGCTTTATTCGAGCGTACGTATGCCGAGCAAGCAGAAGTTTTAACGTGCCAGACGCTCGTGAACCAAGCTTTAGACCACAGGCCTACCCTAGGCCAAGTCACGGAAGCGACACGAGCCTCAACACGCAGGTGGATGGATAAATTTGGACACACTTCTTTCGGTACCACTAAAAGGTCAGCTAGCCACAATCCTCCCGTTTACATGTAGCAACACGTCTGGAGTTTGGCAGATAAAAACTGCTCATCAAACGAAAACTAAGAAAGATGCGAGAAAATTTTCTGCAATGTGCCTTACCTTTCAGTGTTACTGGAGGCGAGGCAAAAGAATGTACAGAACCATGGCTGAATTAGTCAACGTCGATCACATGCTGTGGAAGTTTTGTTCTCACTGTCTTGCCTATCTACATTGAGCCGCTACGGGGAAACCATAAAAATTCTTGCTTTCCGAGTTGGTTATAAAAAGTGTAGTAGAGTGCGGCGACAGGCAGTGCCTCCTGGAAGGGGCAACACCAACCATGGCTACGTAGTTACAGTGCTTTACAAAATGTAGAGGAAATCATGAAATACCTGCTTCGCATGTGTAGTCATCCATATAACAAATGATAACTTTATCTTGCATCATATGTAGACAAACTTCTGTTAATTACAACATTTGGTAATTCTATGGAAATTCGTGACTTCCTGGACTTTGTTTTAATGAGAGTCTACTGTAAAAACCCAGATTGAGAGCCCGTGTTCCAGAACATAAATGCAGCCAACAACAGCTTTGGGAGGCCCTCGTCGTTTAGCATTGAGAAATAGTGTCTTGTTGAAGTTTTCTCAGAAGTTTATCAGTCTATTGCTTTTGGGGTTAGCATGCTTTAGCATGACTCGATGTGTCCCGTGTTGCAGACGGCCTGTCCAAGTTCCCCGCCTACGAGAGGGTCACCCTCAAACACCGTAAGTCTGTGTTCATTGCCTTTTATTGCAACCTGCGTTTAGAAGTGCCGCGAGAAAGAATCTTGTGCACAGTGTGCGTTGGTCGCATTTTCTCTTCAGCCGGTTTCATCCGTCCCGTGGTGCTGTTTGGCCCAATGGCAGACGTGGCTAGGGACAAGCTGCTGAGGGACTATCCGGACAAGTATGCCTCGCCACGTGAGTTCTCCCTTCAGAGATCGCAAGGTGCCGCTGCACCTGTTTGAGCCTTTGCATTAGCAACACTGCCATACTGCATGCTAGTTCTTTTTTTTTATAATTTGTTTTCTGCAGTTTCGTCTCTTTTGCATGAATCAATTTACATTCACGAAGCTGCGTGTTTGTGTTTAGTGGCTTGTTACAGTCCGACGTCAAAAGAAAGAAAAAATTGCGTGGATGATCACGCGACATGATGGGAATGGACAGCTTCGGCTGGTGGGAAATTGAGATTATACTGCGTCGTGATTGACCGGAAATTTCGGAGGTTTTGCATCATGCTGCGTCTCGCGTAAACCACAACCGATCGCACGCAGAACAGCTACCACTAAACACATTCATGCGGATGCGTTGCACAAATTGCTTGGTCACAAAAGTATGTCTATTTTTCGCTCGGTAATATTCTCTTCAATGTGCCACTTTACATTCACGTGCAGCATGATCTTAACGTCGAATACATTCTATCCTAATACCCAGGGTGAGACCATTGGCGCCTACGTATCGACGACTTTCTTCCCTCACGAGCGCACTTATGCCGTCGAGCAGTCACTGCTTGCTCCGGCATATGCCACCCCATTCTTGCGCGCAAAGGCTTAGAGCGCCGAGGGAACGGGCGACCGAAGGCAAGAAAGAGCAGGTCAACCGCGACGATTATCAGCGTAGTCGCCCTCTCCTGGTATCAAAACCACCTACGATAAACTCAAGCATGCTCCCTTTGTTTTCGGCAACACGACACTTGCCCCGTACGACAGGCCCAGTGCAGTTGACGCTGTGAAAGATACCTTTGGGCAGTTAGAGATTTAGCTAGCTCTCCGTGGACCCTTCAATTGTTGCAACTCAGATGGACAACAAATTAGGCTATATTGCCCTAGCCTAATTTATTGCTCGGTTTTCAAATGGTTGCGGCTCGTTTGAAATGGCCACACCTGCCGGTCCTCCGTCGGAAGGTCTTGCCACGTCCTGGAGGCGCAGCTCCCTGATTACATGCTGCAACTGTTGATTGCGGCATTATGAGTGTTATTAGTTTATTTGCAGCATTTTTCTGACTCTTACATTGAAAAGCAAAATGTTAAGCTAATTCTTCACTCTCATCCCTCACACTTCTGTTAAATAGAACCGCCTTTCCCACCAGCAACCATCCAAGACCAAGCTACTTGCAGAGATGCTCTTTCTAACTTTTTGTTTTGAACCCTGATTGTGTTTTTTTTTTTGTATCAATATGTTTTTTGCTTTTTTTTTTTTTTTTACCACTTTCCTGTTTAATGTCTCACAATCTTAAGGGTAAATGAATAAATAGTACTCCCTGTTTTGTTCTTCGGGCGGGGGGGGGGGGGGGGGTGTTGCTTGGGTGGTCTGGTCTGGAGCGTGCGAACATGGATGTTTTCTTACGTTCCGGGGCGTCTGTGTGCACAGAGCTGGACGGCCACCTGGAGGAGCTTCCCAAGAGCCAGAAGGCGTCGGGCATCATCCGGCTCAGTGCCATCAAGGAGATTATAGACAAGGTCAGCCTTCTCTCCTTTTTGGAGGCACTGTTTGGGACCACAGCCACTCGCCGGACATATTCTACAAACTCAAACTTCCTTTCTCGGCGCGAACGGCAAACTCCACAAGCAGTTGCAATTTTGCTTCCCGATGCATGTGAATGCATAGAGAAAACTGTAAAATTGCGTTAATTCGACCTCGCTTAATTCAATTTTTCGTTTAATTCGGTTGCATTTAAAAGTTCTGGCGTAAACGGCAACAGGCGTACCCGGCAACAAAGCATTGCCGATACTTCCAATAAAAGTGAGTCCGGCTCAAGCTGTTCTTCCGCATTTTCTTTTGATTCAATCTTTGGATAATTCGTCCAAAATGTTGATGTCCCGCCGGGGTCGAAATAATAAGGGTCTGCTGTAAAAAAGAAACACACGTTTTGCTTCACTGTTGGACAATGTAACATGTGAAAAGGGTTTTTCGCAACAGAAATGGTTCATAAAACTCTTGAGTTAGCTTGGTGCAAGTGCAGAGGTGCTGTTTTAAGCCGAGTATCGGCGCTGATTCGAGCAACTTAACGAGCAGCGAGCACCGTCACGTCTCAGTGCTGCCGTGCCACGCAAAACCACCATTCAGCTGGCTAGCTTTCAATTAAGCTGTTCACTTATAGATTTAAACAAGGTTTCACGAATGTTGGCCAGAGTTTTAGGTTGTTTTTATCTACCGCAATGTTTACATTTCTTTTACTCATCAGCAGTTAAAGTGATACTGACGGGGTATTTATACTCGCCAAGGTTTTTATTTGTACATGACAAGTGAGACCCCCAACTACCCAGACCACAATTTGCGGCTCGAAATTCATTTTTTTTCCGCTCGAGAACCGCCGATTGGGAACTGGCCAGTTTGAGTCACGCTTACTCTCTTCTCCATGGTCACGTGCCATTTTCTATGGTTTAGTCGTGGATAATTGAAAGCACATGCTCAATACTAAATATAGAGAAAAAAATATGATACTCATTTTTTGTAACTTCTAAAAAACTGCAAATACATTGATTGAGAAAAAAAAAAAAGTTGCACGGCCACGTGACTTTTGGTAACTTTCTCCTCTTCTATATTTCTTCTTTCTGCCCAGTCCAGTTTCTGTTTCGAGCGGTTGCATTTCTTACTTTATTGAAAATATATGTGACGCTTTAGCAAAATATTGCTTGGGTAGTCTTCTGACAGCATAATAAATTGCCTGGCAAAAAATAAAAAAATGTTTATTGAGAGTATCCTTTTAAAATGAATTCACGAGGTGGAGAAGCGTAGCAGGAAGCAAGCTAATTTAAGCTCCTTTGACTGTCAGCTAGTGTCAATTTAGAGCACTTACATCGCAGTCTTTCATTGGCTTCCAACACCTAACCAATCCCGTTCTATTTTTGCACGAAAATGCTCGGTTGACATTTGTGAATCTCAATCAAAAGTAAGATTGGTTGTATGAATGCCTTGACAGCGAGAGCATAATCTCCTTTGTTGCAATTTCTGTCTCCCGCATAGACGGGCAAAGGGTCGGTCTAGTACAACTGCTAACCCAAGCCTTTAACTTGCATCATGCTGTAGTGGGTACAGATGTATGTTGGCACTAATCAGTTCGAGTGCATTGTAAGTATTCTTACTTAAATTTGAAAGAAATAAAATCGCAAAAGACGAGCACGGACGACCGTTCTCTTTCAGTTGGAAACGGCGTTTAATCTTGCACTCTGAAGTTTAGTGCAGTAACCCGGATGCAAGATGCAGAAAGTTTCTTTTGTCTGGGTCGCAGCACCAAATTTCTGTATCCAAAATTAAATGTTGCTCGTAACCAAAAGAGAGTGGTTGTCTGGGTTGGTCCTTCAGTTTTGTTTATTCTTTCAAGTTTGCCAGTACTATGCCCATTCACACCGAAATCAGCGAAAAGGGAGCGGGCCTGGTACCTGCGGTGGCCGGGTCTGCAATGCGAGCCTCTGTTTCGTGAGCTACCGAGCCACACGCTCGGAGGCTGCGAAACATAGGAAAACATTTAAGGAAAGATTTATATAGGGTATTTACAAAGAAGAGTCAGGGTTTGGTGAGTACTTTGTTGTCTTCTGCCGACCGTTGCTTGTGCCCAACTGCTTCTCGGCCAAGCGCGGGCAAGTGCGCCTCTTGAACGCGTATTCAACGGACGTGTGGCCGCCCCCCCGTGCAGAGCAAGCACGCCCTGCTGGACATCACCCCGAGCGCCGTGGACCGTCTCAACTATGCCCAGTTCTACCCCGTGGTGGTGTTCATGCGGGCGGAGAGCAAGCACACGGTCAAGGAGCTGCGGTCGCGGCTGGCACGCACCCCGCACCACAAGAGCGCCCGCAAGCTTTACGACCGGGCACTCAAGCTGGAACGCCTCTGGGGACACATCTTCACCTGTGAGCAACCCCCTCCTCTCTCTTCGGCATCGCTCGCCACTTTGGTGGAGGAGCCCTGCTCGAAGGCACCCGTACAAATACTTTGCAAACTCACTCCCAGAAGGGAACTCCCTAAAATATTTTTAACGCAGAATGTGCATAAGGGCCGGGAAGGTGTGACGAAACACGGTGTAAACCGTCACGAAATGTCTAACACATACTTTAGAGTACAAACTGTAAAAGGAGTGGTGAATTGAGAAGAAAGAAAGAAATTCGAAACGCCCCTGCAGGAATCAAACTTGCGACCCCGTAAGTGCGAGCTCGAGTTTCTACCGCCGCACTAATTAGTAAGCAGAGGCAAAGCTCCTGGCTTTGTCTCAACCACGCTTGTATACACTAACTCTTTGAACACAAACGCTGGACACTGGTGTTTGGCATTTCGGCGTTTGCCTTGGAACAATTTATGGAAAGAAACAAAAGAAATCTAAGACATGCCCACGGTCATGTACAAAACAGACGGAGTTTGGAATAGAAAAAAACAGGCTATGTGGTCGCCGACCGATTTTGGGACGCCGATAATTCGGACTTGTTCAATATTTCGGACCTAAAGGAGGAGCTATGACCTACCCATTAGAAATAGGTCATATTCACGACCGATGTTTCAGACAGCTTCAGGTCCGAAAGTTTGATTTCTCGGACAAAATTGTCGCGAGCGATCGGCGGGAAACACCACCGAAAAGCCACCATTTTAGATTCTATGTTGACTGCACATGTCTTGGCTTGGTTCGGCAGCGCTACTCGAGTACCACTAAGTCTTTTTGCTGGGTGACGCAATGCTACGTCATTATCATCATCATTATTACCAAATGGCTTCGTTCATTTGTCTTTCTGCAATCGTGAACTTCTGCTCCTCATTCCGTCTCAGTGAATCAGTGTTTTTGGACTACGCTGGCTCGGACGTCATGGCTCCTCCCCATCTGTTCTTCCACCACCGCGAAGTGTCGCTAAGAAGCGCGGAAAGTGCTCGACCATAATGCTAGAGAACAAGGCAGCGATTTTCAAGCTAATAGAAAGTGGCCGAACGCAAGCGGAAACGTAACTGCGAGGCATTATTAAGGCATTTTTAAGCCCGCTTAAACGTAATAATGGCAAGTTTCTTGATCTTCCAATTTTTTAGATTACTCTGATATTCGGGTGTTTTTCCGGTTTCTACGAAGTCCGCCAAATCAATTGGCGACCGTAACAAAAACAAAAAAATTAGAGTGCATTTACCCTATTGCGTTGCGCGTGTTACAATGACAACAGCTCGCCACTCGCGTCACTCGCTATCGTTAGGGGTTTCAGTACTAGGATACTAGTACTAAAACAATTAGTTTTACCTTCGATAACGATACCATCCGCATGCAAAGGCGTCGGTGGAGTATCGGGTATCGTTGTTCTAAGTTTCCGCAATGATCCGCTAAAAATCCTTACTGTGGCTCGACGAGCGCCGCAGACAAGAGGCATCTGCCTCGGCGTTGCTGCCCGCTAGTGTCACACTCGTTGCGAGACTTCGCAAGACGCGCCGGCGACGATGCAGACATGACCTAGGCGGCGCTGCGTAGGTCCACCAGCGACAACGTTCAGAGGGGAAACGCCTAGTCTTCTAGATGTTGCGAACGACAGAGCGTCTTTTTCGAACATCCAGCATGCGCTCGTTGCCTTTCGCCGTGCTTTCTATGCGCACGCACGCTGGAGTCTCGCATTTGTCTCTCCAGCAGTTCAGTTGATAGAGCGGTGGACCATAAAGGAAACAATTGCAATCGTTAATAGGTTGCCGGTCTGGATCCGACTCGACAGACCGAGATTTTTGTTCTCTTAGAAACTCGTCGGGAGTGCTGGGAGCAATTTGTGTAATCCGAGGTTCCCCAGGGAGGTTTCCACTACCAACTGTCGCCGTAATAAAAATTGAGACGTCCGCCACGACCCACGGAAACACATCCTTCATATATTGAACTTATTCGTAGGACCGAGATAAATCGAGCTCTTCGGATCTATCAAGTAGAGAACGACCAGTTGTATTTAATAAATCTGTAGCAAGTGGCAAAGTACCGACAAAGTGGGAGTTCTTCCAAAATAATCCGTGCTTTGAAGGCATTGGACAGTCCAAGTACGATAAATTACCAACCAAATTTTTTTTAAATGCCCGCATAGATACATATGTGACGAAGCTAACTTTTTTTTAAAAAGAGAAAAGCATACAATGTTGCGGACAAGATTTCTGCCAAATCACTTTTTGAGTTTGTAGAGGTAGCAAAACTAACTTCCATTCATGGTCCTGAAGTAGAATTTGGTTTCAAAATCCCACCTTACGATGTCTCTCGCGGCGTAAATATTGCCCTAAATTTTGTTTTGTGCTATACGCATCTTATCGAGGCCTTTAAAAATATGTTATTTGAAAGTTCAGTGTCCCTGTGCAAGGGAAGGCTGTATAGTCTGCCTTTCAATTCAATTTGTTTTATTATCGGTAAGGCACGCGCTTGTTACTGGAAAAGCAGATTAACCCGTGCCGCTTGGCTAGTTTTGGGTTCATTAAAATAAGGTGTCTGAGCCATAGAGTGATCAACTCTTGATAAAACAAAAAGGAAATATTATAAAACAAAAAAAAGTATACAACGGGACTTAATATAACCACGCCTTGCAGACTGTTGAGCCTCTAGAGAATGTTGCGCTGGTCTTTTCTGGCTCGGAGGACGCGGACAAATTGACCGATACAGTTGAACCTCGACTTAACGAAGTCACCGGGACCCGCTAATTATTTTGTTAAATCGAGAACTTTGTAAAATCGAGGGAGGGAGACCTCGCACATAGGCTGCGCGGGGAATTTGAATTTGTTGGTTAAATCATGAAATTCGTAAAATCGGGTTTCGTAAAATCAAGGTTCAGCTGTACACGTTTTGGCAGTTGTTATTGCTTTTACGCGCTATCTTCCCTGGCACGCAATGCTTTGGCACTTTGGATGTGGGCGGAGTGGTGACGTCCGGGTGGCGCGATTTCAGCGACGGTGACCCTGACCAGTGCGGACATGTGGTACAAGAAGCTGAGGGAGACCATCGAGAAGCAGCAGCAACTCAGCATCTGGGTCTCGGAGAGCAAGGTCAGTGGGGAGCCATGTTGCAACGTTGAGTTGAATTCAATGAAAAATATTTGTAGAGGTTTCACAATTGCACATTTTGTTTGGGCCTTCTGGTTCACGAAGGATCACACTCTTAAATTTTCGTCATTCTTAAAACATTGCCGTCATGGAGAGGAGCTTTTTCCTTTTCCAGGTTTTTTCGTCATACTTAGTCGTCACTTTCTGCCGGAAATCGTTGCTGCATAAATTGTTCACCACAGTTGTAACCTAGGAGGAGAGAAGAACTTTGTGGTGCTTCCTTCCACAAAATCCTCTGGAAGAACAATTGTTCCTCCCGATCTGATGCACCCATTATCACTAGGCAATGTAGAATTTTTCGGGCGATTTGCTCGAGGCTTCCTGCTGCCTCAGTCTACCGTAAGAAGTGTCTCTCTTTCATCCCACTAGAAATCTGAACGGATACTGGCCAGCCTGCAGGCTTAACGGCTCCATTCATGAAGGGCTTGGGCCGGGCACGGGCCTTGCAATCGAGTCTATGAGGCAGGCCAAAGTGGGCCAGGCTGACCTCTACTTTTCTTTTATTTAGCAGCAGCAATGTTTTTGGAAGCTTGTTCGGGGGTTGGGGGAGAGAAGACCACAGTGGGGTATACCCAAATGCTCAAAGCATGTATGTGTGCATACATTTTTGTTGGTACAGTTCGGTATGTGGTACACATACCAAATGCTCTTCCAGAGCACCAGAGTCATGACATTCGTTTTCATCACTGGTGGTGCCACCGTCGTAAGTCACTTTTTCCCAATGACATGCACACACGTGCCTACACAATACAAACCTCGCAGGCATAAACCATCAATACGTACGAGCACGTGCATCCACAATATGGGGGAAGACTGGCCCTTTAGGGATGCTTTCCCTAAAGAATTTCTCGCAGACCACCGCAAGAGACGGCAGAGTGTTTTATATATTTTTTCGGTTGTACACAGCGGGAGCGGGGAATTTAGAACTTTACCCGTCTTATGTCCAAACTTAGCACAATGTTTCCCTTCCTTTGCATCTTTGGCGCATTGTCTTGTTTACTGTTGCTTGCCATTTTTATTTTTCCGTCCATTTTGGTCGCAAAAAAGGATGGCAAGGGGATTTTTTTTAACGAGCTGCCTGGGCCCGCAGGTTTGTAGGACTAATAATAGCAGCAAAGAAAAAGGATGCTTACTGCCAAATAAAACGCACAATGCAAAGCTGGAAAAAAAAAAATTGGAGCTTTGTGTTGTTCGTTTTGTTTTCACCCTGCTCCTGGGTTACCATGTCGGTCATTGGGTGTTTCGCCACTTTGTGGCATCAGTGTGTTGCAACCTGGCCATTGGGGATGCCCGCTGCCCGCAGGAGTTGAATAGGCGTGGGAAAAAAGGAAAATCCGGTTCCTCAAGTTCCACAGGGCTTGAGCACACGTAGCTTGCCGCCACACTTCCGCGGACCGGTACTGCTTTCATAGGTAGTTTGTTCTAACAACATTCGGTTTCTTAGTTCAAAAAATGAAGGACGTTTACTATTATCTGTAACGCCGAATTAGAGTGCAGCTCTTGAGGAGGAGGAGGGGAGGGTACGGAGGGAAGGATTATGCCCCTCTTCCCCTTCTCCTCCTCCCCTGCCATTTAGCGGGAAATTTTCGCTAAATTTCCTGCTAAATTTAGAGGAAAAAAATTCCCCGCTAAACTTAGCGGGGAAATTTTTCTGCTAAATATAGCAGGGAATTTTTCCAGCTAAATTTAGTGGGGAAATTTTTCTGCTACATAAAGCGGGTAATTTTTCAGATAAATCTAGTGGTGAAATTTTTCAGATAAATCTAGTGGTGAAATTTTTCTTATAAATTTAGTGGAGAATTTTTTTTTGCTAAATTTTACTGGGAAATTTTTTTGCTAAATTTAGCGGGGAAATTTACCCATAATGCAATGTGTAGTTGCGCCGCCGCCGCCGCCGACGTTCCAGCCGGAAACGGACGCCTAAGAGCTGCGCTGTAAAACTTTTGTTAATGTCTTTTTGAGCAAAAAAATTTTTTTTTTGTGGTGTGACCATAATGTGGTTGACAAATAGATGATAAAATAGGCGCTAAAATTTTGTTGCAGCGCCCCTTTAACTCTTTCCTTACTGCGGGAAGACTGCCCATTTCTGGAGGGACCCAGTATTCTAATGAGAATGCAATTAATCAAAGGTCGAAGCGAGCGGGGTAAGGGTGATGAAGATAAACCCTGGATAAGGGGAACAAAGGGGACAAGGGACAAACACAAATCTCCAAACACAACTAGGTGACTGTTGCACGTGATCAGCTCGCTTGCACCTTTGCATTAATTGCATTATCATCATAACCTTAGAATGCAGGCCGTTGACCCTTGTTGATGTTAGACTGGTCGCAACTGATGAAACCTGTTTGCTCTACTGAAATCTAACTCCTGGTTAGCTCAGTTAATAGAACGCTCCACTGGAAATCGAGAGGTCCCCGGTTTGATACCAGGACCAGGTTGATTTTCTCGGTCGCACACGAATCACTTAGCTGTGTTTGGAGATTTGTGTTTGTCCTTTGTCTCCCTTGTTTATTTTCACCAATATCTTCTTTTTTTTTTTAACATACTGTAAAACCCTTAATGTTCGCGAGCCCTCAATTTTCGCAAATTTCGCGGATTGAAGAATTCGCGAAATTTAAGGGCGCGCGAAAATTTCGGTTTTTAAGATTTTCAATGCAGGCGTCTGGAATTCGCAAAATTTAGTGGTTGCGATTATGTCATCTGTGACCGATTCGCAAAAAATAGGGGCCGCGAAAATAAAGGGTTTTACAGTATCATATTTTCACGCGTATTACCCACCCCTGCATGTAACCCGCACCCTGAACTTGCTACAGTATAGACCACTTACAACGTAACCGCTTATAGTGCAGGACCGGGTATAACGCGGTTTTTTTAAACCACCGGTTCACCTCCCATAGAACTCCATGTAATTACATACCGCTTAAAATGCAGGCGCGCGAAGGGAAATACCGGTTATACACCAACTCAACTCTCCTATGTCACGCCGCGGTGGTGGCGCGCCGGACGCACTTCCGGTCTGTGGCGGTGGGCAGAAGTCGCCGTGCCAGACATGCATTCCTGTGTTCCCTTGGAAGAAATGAGACAAAAAACCTGCTTTCTCGTCAAAATGCTGCGACGGGGGTTGTACCAAGAGAGTCTGGAAAGGTTTGAAGATCAGTATTCATGTGTTTTTGCCCCCTCCGTTCGTCCGAGAACGTGGATAGTAGCCGTGAAAAGGGCAAACCAGACGCTGTCGAACTGCGATTGCGTGCGCGGGCAACACTTTGGGTCGCCAGATGTATTTGCTTTGTTCCAACATAAACGAGAGAAAACCGCCAAGTTGTCCGAACCACCCACGGGTTCAGTGCGTCTTCAAATTCACACGGCCGCCTGATCGTTCGAACTTTCGTCTGCTCTTTCAAACGTCTGCTTTTTGTCGTCTGCTCGTTCAAACAAAAGCGGCCCGTAGACCAAACTTTGACCCGGTGATTGCAATAAGAAGTAATTGCAGACCTCAAAAGACTTAAGTAGGCTCGGTGTAAAAAGTAGATACAAGGTGTTGATCATTGGTACCGGCGGTCATCACCAACTTGTTACGCTTGGTCTGTTCCCGCTTCCGATTTTCAGTATCGACGTCGATCATCGCCGCTACCTTCTACACTTTTGTAACACGAGGGACGTCGCTACCAAAAATAGCTGGAAGAATCTCATCATGGTTTTGGCGTCCATTCTGCGGCGTTCATGCGAATGAATCGCCGCACGTCAAATTATTTAGGGAATGTTTAGCGGCGTAACGAGCCTTGATAATTTCGCTTAAGCGATTAAAGTGGTAAGACATTGCGATGAGGACGTAGAATCGACATTCCAACGCGAAAAAGAGTAGGCAGACTCACACAGGCGCCGACAACGTGACATTCGAGTGGTTTGTTGACGCGGGACGGCAGTGCTTCTTGCCCGTACCCCATTACGCATGCGTTCGAACTGTCGTCTGCTCTTTCAAACTTGGCTGCTTTTTGTCGTCAGCTCGTCCAAACGACAGCGGCCCGGAAACCAAATGTTGACCCGGTAATTGCGATAAGAACTAAGTGCATGCCTCAAAACACTTTTGAAGGTTGGTTGGGGTAAGTAGGCTAAGTGTAAACAGATACAAGAAGATGTTTATCATTATTGTTACCAGTGGCACCACCGACTTGTAATGCCCGATTCTACTTGTGGTTTTCAGTGTCGACGTCCACCATCTCAGCTACGGTCCACGCTTTTGCAGTCCGAGCAATGTCGCGTCTGAGAACAGCGAGCAGAATCTCATCGTGGGAGTCAGGCTTTAGCGCCCATTCTGCGGCGTCCACGTGAAATGAATCGGCGCACGTCGCATTATTCACGCAAAGTTTTGCCTCGTTAGTTTTGCTGAAGCCGCTCAAGTAGTCAGACATTGTTAGGAGGACGTACCATCAACAATTCCAACGCGAAAAAGAGCACGGGGACTCCCACCGACGCCGACAACAACGCAATTCAATGGTTTGTTTATGGGCGACGGCGGGCTTCTTGCCCACCATCCACCGCGCATGCGCGGCGCCGTTGGCGTCCGCTAGGGGCGCTCCGGTTTGTTTGTAAACAAACCGGAGCGCATGTTGTATCTGAGAGGATTGGAGGATAGACTAGAGAAGAGTGGGCTTGGGTTCAACCTTTCTTACAGTAAGCTAGGCCAAAAAATTCAGCAATCCTTACCGGGATTGATGTATGCGGATGATATTGTACTAATGGCTAACAACAGGACAGAGTTGCAGGAATTAATGAGCATCTGTGGTAGGGAAGGAGAGGAATTAGGTTTAGAATTCAGTAGCGAAAAATCGGCAGTCATGATTTTTAACGAGGATGAAGTTGAGAGGCTGAAGATACAGAATATTACAGTTGAGAGAGCTAGTAAATACAAGTATCTAGGAGTATGGATATGTGATGGTGCAGAATATCTCAGAGACCATGAAAAGTATATAATAGGTAAGGGCAACAGAAATGCAGCTGTAATGAAAAATAGAGCACTTTGGAATTACAACAGGTATGAGGTGGTGAGAGAGATTTGGAAAGGGGTCATGGTGCCTGGCTTGACTTTTGGAAACGCAGTGCTATGCATGAAATCCGAAGTGCATGCGAGACTAGAAATAAAACAGCGCGGAGTAGGTAGACTGGCTTTGGGGGCACATTGCAAAACGCCAAACCAGGGAGTACAAGGAGACATGGGATGGGCATCATTTGAGAGCAGGGAAGCGGTGAGCAAGGTAGAATTTGAGGATAGGTTGAGGCAAATGGACGGGGAGCAATGGGCACGAAAGGTTTTCAGCTATTTATACATGAGGAGTGTAGACACAAAGTGGAGACAGCGCACTAGGAAATTAAGAGGAAAGTTTTTGGGCTATAGCGAAGATACGGAAGAGCAAGTCTCAGTTAAGAAGAAAGTTAAGGCCACAGAAAGAGATTGGTGGCTAGAGGGAATGCAGACAAAGACGGCTCTGGAAAGCTATAGATTAAACAAAAGAGTTATTGCCAAAGAAAGCATTTATGACAATTCAAGGGGAAGCTCATTGCTGTTTGAGGCAAGAACGGGTGTTCTGCGAACCAGAACATACAGAGTGAAGTACCAGGAAATTGATACAGTGTGCACTGCTTGTGGAGAGGAGGACGAGACGGCTGAGCACTTGATACTCTACTGTAAAGGGCTTCACCCTATGCCTACCGAAGACAACATAGATTTAATAAAGTCGTTGGGTTTTAGAGACAGCGAAGGGAGAGTGGATTTCAAGACTGTAGAGATTACCAAGCAAAGATTAAGTGAATGGTGGCAGAAATCGAGAGAAAACTAGGTATTTTCTTATCCACTGATGGCAAGGGGGTTTCATAGCCTCACTTTCTTTGCACTGCGGAGTGAATATAGATTTCACATTTAAATAGTCTAAGCTTAAATGGTAAAACAAAATGGCTAGGTGGCGTAAGCTACCGCCCGATCCAAAGGGCTCAGCCGTATTCATCCATCCATCCATCCATCCAAACATGAGTTGGTGTTTTAGCACTGCCCGCCGACCGCGCCGACGACCGGAGCAGCGAGCTCGCTTCCCTGGGCGACACTAGATAACGGCGCTGACGGCGCGAGCCGCAAATAGGGAGGCTGTAGTGCCGCAAACTGCACTCGCGGGGCAAGGAGGTTGCTGGAAAACGCGGGGAGAAGCGAAGAGAGAGGCTTCAGTTGCCATAGCGACGGAGGGACGCACGCACGAGTCGTTCACGTGCGTGCGTCCCTCCGCTGTGTTGGAAACAAAGAAACAAACAACCGCAACGACAGACCAATCCCAGGTCGAGGAGAAGTGTTCGCGCGCATTCCATGCCGGTCGCGGGCGTCGGTTGTGATCGTCGTCGTAGACGGCGTTCATCTCATCGTTCTGCGTAAAAGCGCTATCCTTGACTGTGAATTTTCGTTGTGTGTCGCTATGATAACCCAGCACGTACTAGAAGGGAAGATCCACCTACTCGTGCGGCGATGTCGTGGCGGCGCTCTCAAGACGGCAGAAACGCCCGTGTCGTCCTGTTTGTTTACTTCGACTACAGTGGTGATTTCTAAGCATTCGTGTCCTCGAACATCGCCCGGATTTCTTATTTGGCGCATTTCATGCGTGTGCTCAAGTTCAAGGTTTTACTGGCGCGTACCGTATGAAGGATGCGAATTTTCACGCGTTTTCATCTCCGGAGAAAAGTGATTAGGGTGATTAGGGTTAGCAATCCTGAACGCTCGTGACGTCCGTCCGCAACCCGCGACGCCGTTAAAAGGGTGCGCCAGGCAAAAGCCGCTAATTTCTTTTAAAATGTGTGACACACTTGAGACGTAACTGTACTAGTCTATTGAAATAAAGACTTTCCTCAATCTAAGCTTATTTTTTCATCTAACATAAAATAAATTCTTTTACAAAGGTAAGTTGTCTCGTGGCATGTATTTTGGCCTGAAAAATTGATGTTTTGGTTATAGTGCGGTACCGCTTACAGTGCGGATTTTCGCGACTCCCGAGGCATACGTTATATGCGGTCTACACTTAGAAAAACCAAATAATTTCCCCGCATATTACCCGCACTAGCCACTCAAAGTGAAGTCTGGATCTCACTAGAGACCATACCTTTATTTTGAATGCACTCATCGCTGGCGCCTTGAATGTTGCAGATAGCGTTGTCAGCCGTGAAGCACTTTTTGAAACTGTTCTGCACCGTCTCGTATAAAAAAGTTGCGTTAACGCCAAATTCCTGTAGATATTGCATGACTGCAACCTCTTCTTTTCTCAACGAATTTCGCGGGCACTTTTTCAAGCTCGGGGTACGCACCAGTCTTCGGACCGCGGAACGATCTTCGGTCATGGTTTGCAGTTTGCAGCTTTTAATTCTTTCTCCATTTTCGCAAGCACGACTTGTCAACATACGTGTGTCATCTCTGCACTTGAAAAGAAATGTTTTTTTTTGGGAGTTGAGTTTCCCATTAGGAGTTACCTCAAGGTCTGTTTGGAAGCGTGAGCCCCGGTTACTCGGATGCAGCCGGAAGAGGCCATCTCTGATGACTTCCTGTTCCCGATGACGTCGCGGCTGAGCTACGCGTCGTCCCCGGAGAGCGACCTGGACCTGGCCTGCCCCTCGGAAGGTCGGGCCCTGGGGCCCGAGGACCGGCGCCTCATGCGTGCCTCCAGCGACCCCAGCGTGGCCACACAGGAGGACGCCTTTGCGGCGCCCCCGCAGCAGCCCCAGCCCGCCCCGCCCCCCTACTCCAGCGCCTCCCCGGGCTCTTCCACAGTCCTACTGCGTGCCCCGAGACCTGTGAGCCCTTTCTCTCACATCTGTCCCTCCCCCCACACGGTTGCTACCGGCTCTTCGATCGCTTCCAGTCGCTATAGACCAGTGGTTGGCAACATTTTTGCTGCAGCGGGCAAAATTGCCGCGAAACAGGCAGAGTGGGCTGGTTGAAAAACTGGGGAGGGGGCGATGATCGGCTTTCGAGTATCAACGATAGGAAGTACAGTGAACTGCTATGCCCTGTGCTGCACGCTGTATCTTGCGAAACTCTTAGGGCGCAGTTTCTGCCTTCATCATTTTTAAGGGCATGCAGTTCACATTTCAGCATCCAAAGACCAGACAAACTTAAAGCCGTCAGTCCAGTTGCTGTTTGTGATGATGGCATACCAGATTTATGATAAGATTCTGACCAGTCGCTTGTCCTGAATCTTCATAGTAGTAAGCCTCTGTGTTTGACAGGAGCTGTTGAAACTGACACTGGTACAAAACCGTGTTTCGAACAGTTTAGGCTGGATAAGATGATCTTAATTATTGCTTTTCGGTGCATCACTTTTGAGAAACAACAACTGCGGATAGGTGATACATACAGTGAACATGCAAAGAAAACTAAACCCGTGGAGTGCTGTTTCCAAATTAATATGTGTGATTGCGCAAGGTTTGCAACCAACCATATTTCTTGCACCATTAGTCCTGGCTCGCTCACGAGAGAGAGAGAGTGTGTGCGTTTGTGTTTGTTTGTTTGTTTCGGTATGTGTGGGGGGTGCTTTCTGGTAGCGTGCCAGGGGCCGCATCATATGGCCTCGCGGGCTGCCGGTTGCCGACCCCTGCTATAGACCATTCCACTGAGGGCTTTCTGGGCGGTACCATCTTGTTAGATTGCAGCACCATCTGCATACATCCAGACATTTAAACGGAATCGTTGGGGTCATGCCCAGTCCCAATAACAGACGACGAACCGGCCCTTCCTCTTGTGGGCATTTAATTAGATTTGGCAGGGTACAAGACGGAAAGGGCGGAAGCCATTCTCATCGCTCGGGCAGTTTTGGTCGGCCATATTATGGTGCCTGGAGTTCGTCTTGGACTGATGTCTCTGAGCGTCCTATTACGCCCATCGAGTCAAAAGCGGTCCCCAAGTGGCAACAGATGGTGCCACAGAAACCAGGGGGTCATGCTGTCGGATGTCGCGATTTTGACGGTTAAGGGGTATTCACACGAGGGAGAAATCCCGGGGATTTCTCCCCGGCACGCACGCATCACGAGACGAAAACGCGAGGCTTTTGCACATCGCAAAGCCTGACATTTTTGTCGCGGGACGCGCGTGCTGTGGAGAAATCCCGGGGATTTCTCCCTCGTGTGAATACCCCTTTAGTCGTAGAAATGCTGGCGCAAAGCAGGAGCGAACGTGAGTGTCGCTGTCGTCACGGCGTCCCAGCTTGCGGCTGCTCTAGCTTCTATCCACCACAACTGTTGGGACGCCGCCAGGATCGCGACTGGCGACAGCATGACACTTGTATGACGTCCTCAGGCGGGAATTGAGGGACCATGAGTTACCACCGGAACTGCCCAAACATGGAGGCCCATTTCCCTCTCTCCGCTCACCTTGGTGCAAATTCTAACAAAGGCGGGACAAGCTGCTCCAGCAGAGTCCTCCACTCTTTCCACTTGGGCGGAACGAACGCCAAGGAGTTCACTCACCTCCACTCCAGCATTCGCTCCGCTGAAAAGACACTCTGCTGGGGAGCTTTTCCCACTTCACCAAAGTGTACACCTACGTGCTGTCTCCAAACAAGCCTGCGTTCGGCCACACCGGGTCTGGACACTACCAAGCGCACAAACCCACCCAAGGCAAAGCATCTGCACGTGTGCAGCGCCGACAGCAGTGCCATCGCAGTGGTGCAGCGTTGGAGAGTTGGGAGTCGGCATACAGTTGAAATTTCTGCGCTACAGTAGAATTTCGCGACAAGGTCGACGGGACACGTGAAAAAGTTTCTTGTCGTAGAAACTCGTCTCCAGCCTCCTAGCGGCAGTCTGCGTTGCACCTGGCCATTTTTCGACCATTTGGCGAGAATGCTAGCCGCAATATCGAATGGAAAGATGATTTATATATTTTTGGTTCATAAATGAGATGATCAATTTTAGCCTTTTTGTTGTTTTCTTTTGCGGAAACTTTGTCAAAGCAAAGCGGCGTTCGAAAAGTTATTCGTTGTAGAGGTAATTTTTTACACTACGCTTTATGGACAGCTGACGGGGAATTGAAAATACTTTGTCGTTGAGGAAATTTCAAATTAAGTGGCATTGGTTAGCAGGATTCACCTGTGTTGGTTTTCCTAGGCTTTTTTGAGTTGGTAGTATGTGGGTGTTGATATTCCGCAAAATTTATTATTTGCTATGCAGGAACAAGGCTTGCATTCCCACCAGAGCAGTCAGGACTATGGAAGCAGCAAGCGCAACACGTGTAAGTACTTGGGAGCGACCTGTGTAATCGGGAAGAATGCTGCACCACATTTATCGAAATGCTAACCACCCCTGAGGCACTCTGACTAATTTCGCCCGATTGACGTATTCTCGAGCATTGGGGTTCATCTAACAACTAATTTGCTACAAAATGGGAAAAAAAAAAGGCTATAAATTAAGAAATTGTTTTAGGCTAGAAAAAGTGCTCCAGAACGCTAGGTCTAGGCCAAACGGTATCATAAGGGTCACTGTTTGACTTAGGTACTGCTGAAGAGGTATTTTTTTCTTCATTATGAAAGAGCGCCTGTGACCTTGCGTTCCTTAGCAACAAATAACCCAGCCCTAAGCACATGCAGATGATGTCTCAATCAAACCCGACCAGAGCGTGCAACTGTGCAGGTTTTTCCTGTGGGGTGGCAGCAGTCGATGGATCCATTTGGTCAGGTGGCACCGGCATATCTGAGTGTGCATTAAAATATGTGCGGTTGTTTGCTCCAGTTATGCTAGATTGCGAGTGCAGATACTATGCCCGCAAGCACGATCCGAAGTCCTCGCAGAAATTAACGACACCGTCTGCAACATTTCAGAAATCGAGCTTCCTTTTCAATAATTATAATTCCCGAGCAAATGAACAAAATGAAATGGGCCAGAGTCTGGTTTCACGGTTAACGACAGCTGCAATTATTTCCGACGCGAGCTCGCCTACGACGAGGATTGTAAACATTTTGATCTCGATGAACTGGCTTGACTGAAAGCCGAGGAAGCTGTCCTGGTCTCTGCATTCAAGCAACAAAGCGGAGCCCTCATAAAACATAATACTAGGGTGTGTTTGGCTCCTACTTAGGCAGTAATAGATAGCTCGGACCTGCTAAGATTAATCTAGAAAAATGCTTTACTTGGGAAAATTTAGAAGCTGGGGGAATGCTCTCTGGGGAACCCAGCTCAAGAACCCATGGCCTACAAATTGGTTGCCACATTTCCAACAAAGCTTGCAACCAACGCTTCAGAATCACAGCCTAGACTTTCGATGTAGGCTTACGACGCTCCTCGAAGCTACCGCTCGGTCGTTCGCGCAGCACTAATCGGTGGGTCTCCTTGCACGCCGCCATCTGCGGCACAGTGACCTCGGAGCAGAGGTACCAGGTGCCAGCATACTCCGGCCACGAACCTCCCTCCTCCGGCGGCGGGGGACGCCCCGTGGACCAGCAGTACTACGGGCACCTCAACGGCCACGCGGAGGGCTATCCCTCGGAAGAGCAGTTCCCTCCCGGCACGGGCAGCAGGCTTCACGGCGACCCCCAAGGTGGGCCCTCTTCCTTCGCTTTGGGAACCTCGTCGCACTCTCCGTGCTTTGGGAGGGGTTGGGCGAATGCCGGGTTTCCAGGTCTGTTCGAGGCCAAAACGAGGGGCGACGTGTTTTAGAAGTATTTGTCTCCAAATGGCACAAATAAAATAGGTCAGCGGTGAAGTTCTTAGTTCATTTTGTAGTCTTCGTGACAATCGTAACATGGTAGCTCTGCTACCTCTGTTCGGAAAACTAACTTTGCAGTTACTCAACCGTATATCTAGATCACCTATATTTGGAGAAGAAATCTGCAACTTTCACCCGACACAAACGAGGCTCGATCAAATGTTCCGACGGATACGGTCGAAATTGCTGCGTCTCAACCTCCGTAGATCCGACAAGCCCATACGCAAGCATACCTCTCTAAAGTCCGGTTCAGACTTGTGGATTTGAGTGTGACTGACTGCTTTGCGACCGCTTATGAGTGCTACTAGGAGATAGTTACTATGGCGATCGGGGTCTTAAAAACGCGTCGTAGTGTGATGCAAGGACCTGTCGCTCGCACTCCAACGAAAATGTTCGTAGCGGCCTGTACGGTTTGAAATGCTCGAGAATGTCCTTGTCCGTGCAAAAGCGAATGTTGTGCGACTCGCTTCGAGTGGTTGCTCTGTTTTTCAAACCGTCCCGGCGAGCTTGGCAGAGAGACTGCTTGCAGAACTGTGCTCGGTTGGGACGTACAAGTGGCCTAACCCGTGTGGCGTTCCCTCCGCAGACACGTACGGCAGCAAGCCCCGTCTACTCCCGGAGCCCCCTCCTCAGGTGGACCGGGGGAGCAAGCCACCGCGCTTCTCGAGGAGCGCCCAGGAGCGCCTCTTCGGCTCTCCAGGTGGGTGGTGCTTCCCGGCTGCCTCGTTTGCTCCGGTCACCCAACCACCTCTTGCTCGGCCTCGAAAGGTTGTCCTAGATGTCCTCGAAGTCATCCTTGAGGTCGTCCTCTAGGCGTTTTCCTCAAGGTCGTCCTATAAGTCGTCATTGAGGTCGTTTTAGACGTCATCCTAGATGTTGTCCTTGAGGTCGTCCTAGACTTTGTTCTTTAGGGCGTTGTCCTCGAGGTCGTCCTAGAACTCGTCCTTGAGGTTGTGCTTGAGGTTGTCCTAGATGTCATCCTCTAGGCGTTGTCCTAGAAGTTCTCGAGGTCGTCCTAGACGTCGTGCTCTAGGCATTGTCCTAATCATCGTAAAAATAACAGCTTCGCTGGTTGTCCATCTTCACGTGAAGTAGAAGGGCTCTACAATTTAATTTTTCCTTTTTGTTTTTTTATTTTACATGAAGTTAAGTTTTGATCGCACAGTGTATGTTTGAGAGTATGTCGTTGTCTGAGGATACCGAGGTGTCTCGGACAGGCACGGCAGAACTTTCACGGTTATGGCACTTAGTGAATCATCTTCATTTTCGGTGTATGTTTCTTTTAGAATAGGGTCGAACATTGTCGTGCCAACCTCGGCCCAACGCTAAGCCGATGCTCCAACGCAGTCTCCTCATCTGGCACGTTTAGTTTTTTAGACTGCCGTCCCGCACTGTTTTCTTCGAAAAAAAACATAGAATAAAGGCTCGGAGACATCGACGTTTGTTGTACTGTAAACAACTTTATTTCTTTGGTCACGTAATTTCGTGAATTTCACTAAGTATGAATTTCGGGATTATTTAAGGGGCAGGACACGTTATGATTGGAAGTGGTTTGCCACGTACTGGTTGCGACTGAGTGATGTATTTGCGTGATAAATTTTTCAAAATATTTTTAAATCCTGAAATTTGTCAAAGTTAGTTATTCGCAAAAATTAATCTGTTTTAGTATTTTTTTGAGTATCCGGTTGCTAAAATAGTAATGAACCATATTTTGTTCTCTAATAAAAAAAGATAAAAAACTGTAAGATATTTAAAATGAAAACCTTAAACAAAAAAAGGTATCGTTTAAAAAAAATAAAGCGGTCGTGGTTGTCGTTTTTTTGTTGGTAAAATGCTTTCTCGACAGTTGTTGAAATGAAGGAAGCAGGTGAGGGACCCATTGGGGCAAGCAGATGCCAGCATGCGAGAAGAATGGCAGATCGGCTATCTTCAGTTTTAGTTTCTTTCGGCCCAAAGACGACGGCGCGGTGGGAGCTACGTGCTGGCCGGGTTGTTCGACCGCTTCCTTCCGTTACCTGACCTCTGCGCATAGGTATGAGCGGGGGCGTAACCAGGTGGGGAAAGGTGGGCGTACGACCAGTCCAACCAGCATGTAGCGTCCTCGGCACCGTCTATTTTTTAAGTCCTAGGGTCAAAGCGAAGGCTAGCATCAAGAAGGGGGAAAAAAGAAGGTGCAGCTTCTGCATTTCTTTGCGCAAATACCAACTGGCCACCAGGCTAATCTTTTCTAATCCTAAATGGCGATGTAAAAAGGAGAGCTTCTTTCCTTCTTTATCCTTGCAGCAGGGAAAACGATGAGGAGAAAACCGATGAGAGTGGAGAGTAAGCTTCTTCCTTTCTGCTCATTAGTCTGCCCTTAAAGAAGTAGTGCGACAATTTTAATGTTGAGAAACTTTGCAGTTGGTATTTTTTATATAGTTTATCTGAGCATGAGTGAGCAAGAATGCATCACCTTACCCCGAAAAACTGCCATTCCGCCATGTAATCGCGAAGAAAAAAGCTAATTATTTGCCGATCTGCAGCCGCGTGTGGCAGTGACGAAAACTACAATGACAATGTCTCTGGGGAGTGTGCGGAAGTCAACAAAACCCTTCCCCTTTCGCTGCCACACTCGTTGACAGCTCCGTGGCGAACTGTCTTTTGTGCCGATCACTCGCCGCGACCTTCAGCGATGCTAATCCTCAAAAAGTCAACAATCGCGGAAAAGGCAGCCGGTGTCTTTGAAGAGAGAACCCGATGGGAAACCAGGTGGTCCCCCAGAATACGTCGCTCGAAAGACAACATGGAGAGTTGGGAGGCATTTTGTTGTTCGATTTGTTTCATTTTATTTAAATAAAAACTAGCACGCGCAAGAAAATACAGTTTTCTATTCTTTGTTTTATGAGTGATCAATTCCCACAGTTAATAGGCCAAAGTATGAAAAGCGTTGCACTGCCCCTTAAGGGGGCAACGCTGCTTCTAGACCATTTTATGTAACAAACCTCGCAAAGCCTCGCAAGGTTTGAAAAACATAGAAACCGAAAGATCACGAAATATTTTTTGGAAAGTAATTTTTTTGGGGTTGTATATTCCAGAGTTGCACAAACTTTTCGGGCCCACGACCCCTAAAATACCCGAAGGCCGTCCGGCAACCCTTCCCCCTTTAGAAATGCCTGGGGGTACATGTGTTGTGAGCGAAGGACGATCTGGACATTGTGCAGGCCGCGGGGGCGGAGAGCCACCGCCTCAGGGACTGAGCCCAGACTACATCAACACGGGCAGCCCCCCCAAGTCGGGCTCTTTGGACAGGCCCAACGGGAGGCCCATGGTGAGTGGCGGCTTTTCCGGGCACACTTTATTAAGCGAAAGGCTACAAATCTATACACAATCGGGATCTATAGCTGAAGGCTAGTTGCGGATTCGTCGCAAATAAGGCATAATATGGAAATTTATTGCACTCGTTTTCACCTGACAAAAAACAAACGCTTTGCGCAATGTTCATGTGCCGTGCGAAGTAGTTAGTTCCACTAGGTGCGAATGATGCCTCATAGCAGATATTTTTTGCATCAGACAAGCTTCCATTGACTGCTCTCATCCAAGCTACGCACGACGGGATTGCATTCTGGCACACAGTTGAATCCCGGTGCAGCGAGTGCATGCACACGTGGAGTGCCGGTGCCAAAACAAACTCGGAGAGTGCAGCAACTCTTGGAGTGCCGACCGAAATGAACTCGCTCCACGCTGCGAGTGGTGGCAGCGTGCAGTGATACGAACTCCCTACGAGGAAATCCAGATCAAATCCGAAGGTGATCGAAACCGGGAGGGAAGAATCTGAAAATAGACCTTTCGGTAGCCCAACAGGAGGTTCATTTTGAGCCCCGAGTTAAACAAAACACTCCAAAGAGACTTCAAACTACTTACGAATGTGAAAGCATTCTTACAAGCAGCGCATCACGTCTTCCTTTTTCACATGGTGCTCTGGCAGTGACATCACGCCCCCCCCCCTCCCCCGCACAGGCCCCCGGCAGCTCCGCGACTTCAGTGACGAAGCATCTGCGTTGCTGTGCTTTTCTTTGTGTTTTATTTCTGAGGCATATCCGCTTTGACCTTGAGCGGTGTGTGCTTCATGATATAATTGGTGTGACCATCTTTCGGGCACAACGCCGCCGTCGCCTTTTCGTGTAATGTTACAAGTAAGGCTTTTGCCCTAATAAATAGACGCAGGAAGCGTATACACGCAAAAATGCACATCGGGGTGCCGAGCGTGGGAAGCAGCACAATCCTTACTGCCTCGGTGCAGACGGTGTTTCTACATCCCCGTGGTTTGGAGGCCTCGTCACTTCTGTAGTCAGTTGCAGGTTAAGAAAAGTGGGACGGGTTTCTCCCCCAAAGCCCTCCACTCCGAAGCAGAGGAAACCGGCAATTGCGGCGGAGTTTTGTGGGCTCCTGCCGCTCTTCTTAACCTGCAACGGGGTTCCCTCTACACACGGCGTGCGTGCCCTGTGGACGGGCAGATGCACGAGCAGTTGTCGATGACACGGCGTGTTCCCAACGCAGCCCGGCTACGACAGTTCGTCGTACAGCAGCGACTCGTACGGGCGCTACGCCGGCCTTCATCAGCAGCCGCACCCCACGGCGAACCCCCACGACCCGTACCGCTTCACCCGCAGCACCGCACAGCCCCCCCACGGGGCACGGCCCCCCCCGGGAAGGGGGGGTCCGGCCCCCCTCCACTCGCCCCCCAGGTGAGTGACGCCCCTCCGAGAGAGGGTCGGGCATTCCCACGCTTGTCCAACTCGTCCTTGCTGCCATGGCCTTGCACGCGTCTCTTTGTAATTGAAATGCGGTAGCTTTTCAATCGGCCGACGTTGGCCATCTCAATGTTGGGAGAACAGGGAATATTAGAATAACGTACGCAATTTTAGTGCAGGCTAGTGCTAAATTTAGCGCTTGTGTTAGTGCATGCTACGCAGGGGTGTTTTAGAATAGCGTTTCTCTGCCGCGATGAAAAAGCCTAAGCGTCTTGCGTTTGCAACGCCACCAAGATGCAGTAACAATTTTTATTTCATGCACGAAATAATGTAACTTGAGGGAAAAACAAGTTTTCTTGGTTCGAAGTAACATTTTTGATTTGTGTAAATATGAGAATGCGACAGGAGCGGTCAACCGGTCGTGTTCGCTTGGGTCATGTCGGTAAGAGAGGTCTCACGTTGGCCGAAAAACGTTCGCGGGTCGCAGGCGGCATGTTGCCGGCTATCGTTGCCCACCTTACTGGGTCTTTCCAAACATTTCTGACGTGCACCTCCCCTAGGAGAACAATGTCTTCCTGTGTTGAAAATCGCAGTCGCCAGGATGCCGTTGACGTCACGCTCACGGCGCCGCCATAGCTGCCGCAGTCACGGTCCCAGGACCCGACATTTTTCAACTGCGCATGTCTCGGCTTCAGCCAACTTCTCATTACGAATCCTCCTTGGAGGAGTGCAAAAACCCTTTGCATATGCATGCAATTTCTGCAAAATAGCAAACACTAAAATAGTGCGTACAAAGTGCAAACTGCATTTAGCGCGTTTGGCTCATGCGCAGTGGCGACGATGCTATTCTTTGCGTTCTCAAAGCTTTAGCGTGCGCCATCCTAAAACTGCCTAACGAAAGTGAAAATGCGCATAAAACGTGAACAGCCAGGGAATTAGAGTGGATGGAAGGTTTTTCTAGCAGTCCGTAAGCTGGTCCCTGAAAGGTGAATACCGAATTGTTTCCCCAGTGGCTCTGCCGGCTCTGCTTGCCGCAGTTCAATCAGATTCCACAGGGTCACCTCTTTTAGGCCAACGGTCTTAGTGCCGGGATTCACAACGAGGTCCTCGAACAAGCTCGGGGGTTTCAAAACTCTGCCAACATTTAGTCTTTAGTGACGGCACCTTCCACCAGGATGGGTCGGTTTAATAAACGTGCCTGATGAAGTGAATCCAGACAATGGTGGAAGTGGTGGGCAAAACGAAGGATGCTTTCATGCTAGTTTGCAAAGTCGGTCAACACCCTGTACTGGCGATGCAGGGTGTAGACTGAGAACCGTGTTTTCCACGCATCACCAAAACAGCATTTGGAGTTTGGCGGAATGTTAAAAAATAGTGCAAACCAAAAACGCAAGAGCAAGGAGAAGGGGGACACATACACAGCTTCTAAAACTCGAATTCGCCCGAATGTAGTGCGAGCAGTCAAAATGAGATGCTCAGTTTTCGTAGCTTACCATATAAAAAAAGTGATATTCATAATTTTTTGATGCGATAATGGTATCTCTTTGGGGGCAACAGGCGCCTTTCATCTTCGTGCGTGGCCACGAGCTGTCTGGGCTGCCTATTTCTCGTTTGAAAGTTTAAAAGAAATTACTTCTAGTACAGTGTAGACCGCATATAACGTATGTCTCGGGAGTCGCGAAAATCCGCACTATAAGCGGTACCGCACTATAACCAAAACATAACTTTTTCAGGCCAAAATACGTGACATGAGACAACTTACCTTTGTAAAAGAATTTATTTTATGTTAGATGAAAAAATAAGCTTAGTTTGAGGAAAGTCTTTATTTCAATAGACTAGTACAGTTATGTCTCAAGTGTGTCACACATTTTAAAAGAAATTAGCGGCTTTTGCCTGGCGCAGCCTTTTAACGGCATCGCGGGTTGCGGACGGACGTTGCGAGCGTTCAGGATTGCTAACCCTAATCACTTTTCGCCGATGAAAACGCGTGAAAATTTGCATCCTTCATACGGTACGCGCCAGTAATACTTTGAACTTGAGCACACGCATGAAATACGCCAAATAAGAAATCCGGGCAATGTTCGAAAACACAAATGCTTAGAAATCACCACTGTAGTCGAAGAAGTAAACAAACACGACGACACGGGCGTTTCTGCCGTCTTGAGAGCACCGCCACGACATCGCCGCACGAGTAGGTGGATCTTCCGTTCTAGTACGTGCTGGGTTATCATAGCGACACACAACGAAAATTCAGAGTCAAGGATAGCGCAGAACGATGAGATGCACGCCGTCTACGACGACGATCACAACCGACGCCTTGTTTGCGGAATAGAAGCAGCCGACCCGCGACCGGCACACCGGCATGCAACGCGCGCGAACACTTCTCCTCGACCTGCGATTGGTCTGTCGTTGCGGTTGTTTGTTTCTTTGTTTCCAACGCAGCGGAGCAACAGCGGAGGGACGCACGCACGTGAACGACTCGTGCGTGCGTCCCTCCGTCGCTATGGCAACTGAAGCCTCTCTCTTCGCTTCTTCCCGCGTTTTCGAGCAACCTCCTTGCCCCGCGAGTGCAGTTTGTGGCTCGCGCCGTCAGCGCCGTTATCTAGTGTCGCACAGGGAAGCGAGCTCGCTGCTCCGGTCGTCGGCGCGGTCGGCGGGCTGTGCCAAAAACCGCACTATAACCGGTATTTCCCTTCGCGCGCCTGCATTTTAAGCGGTATGTAATTACATGGAGTTCTATGGGAGGTGAACCGGTGGTTTAAAAAAACCGCGTTATACCCGGTCCTGCACTATAAGCGGTTACGTTGTAAGTGGTCTATACTGTAGTTTGTATATTATATGAAGTGAAGTTATTCAACTTTTGCATCTTAGCCCAACCACGATGGCTACAATTGGCTGGAATCCAACCTTTCGGCGATGCATTACTTGTTGTTATAGCGCGGAAAACATGGTTGGCTTTTCCCACCAATGCCTTCTATTTTGATATAGAATGAGTTGTTCGGTCTCGAGTGGATTCACATTGATGGGGTGTCGTGCAGACGATGCACATTCTGCACGTGACTGTACATGTGATAGAGCAGTTAACTAGGATCTGTTCCCACGCGTCTTGTCCGAATGTTGCAGGACCGCTCCAGACCGCCAGGCGCCACAGTCACCACCCAAGCCACCCGGCTACCAGCCACGGTGAGCCACAGGTTCTCCCACATGCGTGCATAACTTTGGGCAGATAAACCTTCTGTCAAAACCGGAGGGGTCATTTTGAAAACTGCGGTCATTACCGCTAGCTCTAGAGCTGGCGTTCGAAGCTAGGTTCACCGGTCTGCAGCATACTGAGCTACGGTGGCGCAAGCACTCGAGGTCAGAATTTGGTTCTTCGAGCAGGTTTTAGGAGCGTTGTGGTCAGCTCTAACTTTCGCGAAGCCAGTACAAAGGAAGGAGACCACATCCACGACCGCCGAGCCTCGAGCTAGGTTCGGCTGTCACGGCTCGTAGTACAGGCGTCAGTGGGTTGTTTAGGTCCGTTACAATTGGGCTTCAACTGTGAAAACACTTCGGTACGTCCAAAGCACCCTCGGGTAACCCACGACGGTACCCTGGGGAACCCTCAGATTCCTAGGAACTCGGTTTGGGAACCGACGGTTTAGAATGTTTGCAATGGCACTGAGAGGGAGGTGGCATGGTCTCCCGATAGCAGCGAGCATTTCTGGCCGGGGGAAGCTTTCTGAAGGTGGCAGTGACGTCCCTCCCCGGAGTGGAGAACCCCTCTTAGAGGGATTCACCCCCTTTGCAGGCTGTCGGACGGACGGCCCGTGCCCCCGCCCAAGCCCGCCCACTACCGGCCGAGGCCGTGGTCCGGCGGGGAGGAGCCCGGGCCGCCCCCGTACTCGTCTCGCGAGGGCAGCAACGGCTACGCGCCCCGGCCGCCCCCGGCGCCCCCCTCGCAGCACCAGCCCAACGGGGGCCCCTACCTCAACCTGCCCCACCCGCCCCGGGCGGGGGTGCCCCCCGCGGGCCTGCTCGACCTGTCCAACCGGGAGCACCGGGGCAGCGCCTTCGAGCTCTACCGCAAGCCCGAGCCCAGGGTGGCTCCCGGCCACGCCCCCTACGGCCCCGCCCACGTGGCGCACGGGGGCCTGCCCGAATACGCCAAGTGAGTGGCACGCCCCCTCGGCGCGCCCCCGGGCTCGGAGCGTCGAGGCGCGAGCGTAGCCTTTGGCCCCGCGCTCTGCGGAAAGGAAGGCTACGCTCCGGAGCGCTCCAACCCATCGGTACGCTCGTTTGGTGCGACTGCGACGTAGTTCGGCGAAAAGATGCGATCCACGGGGGACCTACGTGGAACGGTGGTGCGGACACAAATGTACAGCTCTCGACAAACCACCCATTTTACGTGCGCGTGAAAAATCATTATCTCTATTTGATTTCGCTGAGACGGCTCTCAGAGTGCATTAAAGGAAACACAACTCCATACAAACGTTCGGTTCATTACCTGAAAATGTCGTTGGCAGAAATCCCACATTTAAAGGTTGTTGTCGTTACCCTTCCTGAAGCGTTCCAACCTTACCGGTGCCAGCACACCGTTTTTGAAGACCAGAGTTTTATTGTTTTAGGCAGGGGCTCTCAAACTTTTTCGCCCCAGGGAACCCCATCAAGCCTCAAAAATTTCCAAGAAACTCCCCCCACTTTGTTGCCAACCAATAATACTGGGCAATATAGGCATTTAGATAATGAACAAGAGTTCATTGTACTGACAGAATAAGACAACATGGAGGACTACAGACAGAATAAGAAGGCAAAGGGGTTAACCTGGGGCACAATGTAACATATATATATACATATTAGTGCGAAGGATGAGGTTGCTTTGTCTACAACACCAACTCTATCCATGGCTCAGTCCATGGAGTTTGGGTGCTTGCGAAACACATGAGACCAGCTCGCAGAACCCAGTTTGAGAACCCCTGTAGGGTATAGTTTTGCCATTCTCATCTAGAATTTTGCGGGCATGGCTGAAGTTAGGCCAACTTTATTTCTGCATTTAATCGCGACGCATTTTGGTTCGCTGGAGTTATCTTTTAATTTTAGCAAAGTCAGATTTTTTGCCAGCTTTGCGAATCACGAATGAAATGCCAAATTTCGAGATCTGTATAAGTCAGCCTTTGTTTTCTCTGAAGTGCACCACACACCTAAACATGGTGGCTAAGCAGTGACAGATAAAACCGCGGTCCTCGGATGCTTCTGGTCAGAACCGTTTCGTCGCGCTAAGGGAGAGCTTTTTTTGAGAACAAATTGAGTCGCCAATCAGATCGGTCGAGGAGCCTGCTGGAAGAACTTGTGAGACTTCCACACTCGCCTGAAAAACCTCGCGGAACGCTTAAGAAGGCTTCCTAGCTTTTCATGGTGTTGGAAGCGAAGATGTCTCCGGAAATGGGTGCAAGATGGCGCTGCCGAACGCTGGTGCAGGAAGAATGTGCGGCATTGAAATTGGACCCACCAGGCTGGCATCATTAGCAAGAATGGAGGCTAGACAGCATTACCTATTGCAGAAAAGTGCAACTATGAAATTATCTAAATAATTTTCATCTAAACTACAACAATTAGCATTGGAATTGCGATAAATAAACCTTTAACGACTCAACAGGGTTTGCCTCTAAAATCGACTGGTTTCTGGCTAAGCCTTTAAACCTGTACTGCCTTCGGTGACAACTGGCAGAAAAATGTACGAAGGGAAAAAATGTGAGAGTTTCCAGACCAGGGGCATCTAAAGACTGCGATCAAACCTTGAGTGCTCGGTCTGTGTAATCTGTACCCAAAGTCTCTCTGACGTGCTGTGGCCAGAGCTTTGCAATGAGGTTTTATTTCTCGATCTACAAGTTGAGTGTCATTGATGGCCTTTGTCAGCGGGCGACTTGCCCAAGTGGTTGTTGCTCGATTTAAGCACTGTAAAGGGGAGTTGTTTGTTCGGTTGATACGCTGTGAGAGGTATGCTGCTTTTTCCTCGCTGGCGGATAAAATGCGAGAAATGCGTCTGCAACCAGTCTGAAACTTGTCAGTTGTCTTGCCACCCACATTGCCTGTTTATAGGTGCCTTACAGTCGTTACAAGCTATGCTGCCATATTGCCTTCATAAAGAGTGAAGAATATTTAGTCTGCCATGTTTGCCATTTTTGTTTTTTTATATATCTTACATTCTTCAACTCCAGTTCATTCACAGATCACCCGCAGTGCCATGGCAGAGGCAAAATACTCACGGTTCCTGTTTGCCAAAAGAATTTACATCATAAACATTAAGGAGTTGTAAAGAAGATATATTTGGTACGGCTATGTAAATGCTGACTTTTAAGAAGACTCTGAGAGACGGAGTTTCCTACCATCGAGTTCACGAGAGGTCGAGGTCGTTGTTTGGCAACTGCTAGATTCTGCCAGACCGCTCCTGCGTATTAACATTGCTGCATAGTCCTTCTAACCCATTGCGGCACGTCCGCCGTGGTCTTGCAGCGGCTCAGTCGGACCGCGTGTTACGGACGTGCCAGGCCCATGTCTCGAGACGCACTCTCGTGCGAGTGATTGACGCGGACGAGGTTGTCTCGCGGAGAGCCGACTTGGTAGCGGCAATCCTCGCATGTATCCGAATGTTGGTGTTCTTTGACTGTGTGTACGTGTGTACATGTCGACGAAATACTGCTTCCAAGTGCAGGACCGACACTGTGTCGACTTTCCTCCCCCGGCGTTCCTCGTATACCCTGCCTCGCATGCATAACGAGAGTTGGTGCGGTGTGGTCACCTTGCCACCAACGCGAACAGTTGCCTTCTCAATGCGTTCTCAGCCCGAGATGTCACTCGGCCCTTTTTGCCGGGCAGATAAATATGTACATGTGGTCTTCATTCTGTACATTTTGCGAGAGGATTTTCCGAGACCTAATATTTATTTTCAAACTCTTTTTTTTTTTAAGTACGGAGCCAATAAAGTGATGTTCTCATTGGTTTTTCTCTCATCCTGATTTCCTTGTCCCGTGTCTCCTCATTTTGCCTCGGAGTCCTCTCCGATTGGGCGCGTCTGGTGGTGGGCTGCCACACTGCACTAACTCCTAACCCCTCGCACCCTGCTCGTTCTAACATTGCACCGGTTTCGTCTGGGAGCGTTGCCATTTGGGCGATCGGGGTCGCGGCTAGCGGTACTCACCGACAAAGTCGGGTCCGGCTCTGGTTGCTCCGAGGCTGTACTTTTGTACCCAATGAACCGCACAAAAATTTACCCCACTGTAGCAAACTACCCGACTGTGTTGTCTAGAGGGACGGGGTTTTCTGGGCGTATTTAACGGTACGCTCGGCACATGCACCACGAGCCATGGGGCCACATTTTCATTCAAATTGTCGCGACGCTCTGCGGCCTCAGGAATCGGTTAACGCACGACCGCAACTCTCGTGGCAACGTCGGTCGGTGGAGCGGGCGGCACGGGCCGTGCGGCGCCGGGCGTTAACGCCACTGGAAGCCCATGAGGAAACCTTCCCGGAACGCAAAGAAACTTTTGAGAAAATGTTCGGTCAGAAGGCGCCATTCTTTTTGTGAAAAGTGCTTAATTGCCTTTGGTGTTTCTCCAATGACTCGGACACATTTCCAAGTTTGGAATGAAACCGGAGAACGTTTTCGAGCCGTGAATTGACCGAGTTCTGATCTCTCTCCGCAGCAGGCTGGAAACACGCACAATGGATTGTCGTCTTCCTAAATCTTTGCAAATCACTTGCTTTAACATGTTTTGCATCTCTCATGCAACGGTGGGCTCGGCTGCTTCTCTGAGACAGGAATGCTGCCGATTCACGCATCCAGTCACTGTGCAATCCGCTTGTAACAATATTGAGAAAACCAGAAAATGTGCTTGATACAACCGATTATCGTCGTATCTGAAACCCCATTCAAAAATGGGTGGTCCTGTAGAAATTGATTGTTATAAGCGGTACATCGTTATGCGTGGTATCATTACGAGTGGATTGCACAGTACGCGGATCGCAGGGTCGTCCGCTTGTCGCGCGGGGGGTTACGGCGATGTGAAACCGCCGAGCTCCGATGGGCTCCGACTGGAAGGATAGTGGGTGGACCTCGGTGCTAGCTGCCTCAAGGTCCACCCGCCATCCTCCTAATCGGAGCCAATCAGAGCTCGGTGTTCCGACGTCACCGAAACCCTTGCGTGAGAAGCGGACGAACTTGCACTCCACATTGCATTGAAAGTGCACATCAAGTGACAAAGGTCGTATTCGGTCAACTTCCTGCTGCTGACACACTATGCAGTCGGACACTATAAACTTTCAAGTTTAAGTACATCCAGTGTGGCCGTATAATCTGACCGTAAAATAGGTACCTACGTCCCGTCCGACCTTCTTTGTAAAGTCGTTCCTTGCAACAGCCCGCCGGTTGCTTCCAGAGTGATTTGCACAAACAGTTTAGCACGAATGAGCCGTCGGTGTTTTCTGTGGTTTTCTTTTAAGAACAAGAAGTTGCCATCAAAGCCACTGGCATAGTGAAATGCGCTGATCTGGTGAGCCAGCTTTTACACTAGCATGCTGCCCCCACCCACTGCGGTGGCACCGTTGTCGGCACGGCGCAGACACTTGCTTTGCGTGAATCTGGTTTCTGCACGTGCGCAGTGTCCACGCCTGGGGGGGTGCAACGTCGACTCGTGTATAAACAGTACACCAGTCTACGGAGTGGAAAACAGATGTGCAGCGATGTCTCGTTTGTGCTAACTGTATTGCGCAATGAGTGGCTGCACCACTTCCGAGTGCCTCGTCCCGTTCCTCTGTTGTTCACGCTGTTGACATGCCGTTAATCGTCGTGCCTCTTGGGCCTCTCATTTCCTGCCCTCTTTCACGAAGCGGTCGTTGAGCTTACGAAACCTTGCTCTGCTTGGAGCTGCTTTGCAAGTGGGGCTGTTGATCTTTTGCATGGCTGTGCATGTACTAAATTCCGAGAGAAATATGAAGGCTTCCTCAAGGTAGGTGCAAAAACATTCCAGGAGCATAAATGAGGCTACAGGCACGAGACTTGACAGGGAAACCTTCAGCAAAACTGCAAACCTGGTAAACTGAAATACCTCAAATCCTGAAACTGGGGTAAAAAAAAAAAAAAAAAATTCAAAGTGGCAAAGGTTTTGTACCCCT